AAGGTTACAGGCAAGAAATCTGTAGTCTCCCCACAAGATATTCCCTACATCCATTAGCTCCTTACACTGGGGGATTATTGTAAATGGTTTCCCTTATATTTCTGCCCCTGCTTTAAAATGGCACAACATACCTAATACCTTTTCCCTTTTAGCCATAAAATGTGAGTCATTTGGATAGTTTCACCATGCCCAAACTGCTCCTTCCCTCTGTTGCCTTTTCTCAGAGGGGCTGGAGGTCATAGATCTCTGCAGCAGTGTGGGCAGAGCAGAGTGAGGGATCTCAGAGAGTCGGACTATCTTTTTTCCCCCCCCGACGGTTGTGGGTTTTTTGGGCCGTGTTCTGAAGCTTGTTCTTCCTGACGTTTCGCCAGTCTCTGTGGCTGGCATCTTCAAAGGAACAGGAGTAGGAACTCTGTCCATGCTCTGTTCAGCACAACAACAACAACCATCATATCCAGGCCGCGAAAGCCTTCGAGAATCCTTTCCGCCCCCCCCCCAACAACAGCAGCAGCCATTAAATTGCTAGGGCTCACTGTGATCCGAGCCATCATAATTCAAGTGAGTTGTTTTATCTTTCCAGAAAGAGACAAAATTGTTTAGGAGGCAGGGCTGAGCATATTGGGCCCTTTAAAAATTCACTGCAGGCCATCCTCGTTAAAGAGAAGTGAGCACAGATCAAGGGTTTACCTGTATTCTTAGCTGTTTTGAGTTTGCTTATGTAAAAAGAGGATTTTTTTTCATTAAAAAGGCATTAAATAAGAAGTATTCATTGCCTCCAGAGCACAGTTTTTCATAATGACGATTAAAATGCATGCTTCTAAAGGAATTATTGGATCTCTGCGACAATAATTCTATGGATTCACCTCTGATTTTTGCGATGCAAAAATGATCTGATGATCTGCCTCTAGGAGGAGCTATAATCCTTACATATCGCTGGAGTGTATCGTCCTAGATTCCTCCGTGGTCATTTGTGAGTTATCCAAATTAAGTGAATAATATTCCATCTTTCAGAGGTCAGACTCAAAAAATGAAGGTCCTAAATAAAGGTTTCCCCTGATTTTTCTTTTGCTCATATTTTCCTCATGCACAGCAAGGCTGTGGTAGGCCTGTTTCTTTCACAAAAAGCACATCACACACACCACAAAAATCTTCAGCCCTGTCCCATTTCATATCCAGACCCCCTGGGTCAATACTTGTCTGTCAAACAGGATGTCCATAATGCCTCAGGCAACCATGAAAACAGCATTTAGATCCCTGTCCCCTGACTTTCTCAAGATAGAAACACTCACTCACAAAACTGATTTTTGGGAAAGAAAACCAGGGCATAAAGTTTCCATTAAACACATTAAAGCTTCAAAGTGCTGGTCTGTTGACATGTAGGAAGAAGCTTGGCCAGCAAAAAGGTTTGATATAACTAGATTGTATAAAATAGTATACAAGCACTTATTTAAAAGCAGATCACAGAGTTTTCAGGAAGTTTCTGCTGGGATGTTCAGAGCCAAAGGTTTGGTTGAGGTGCAGTGTTCAGAGGTGCTCCAGTGAGTTTATGTCTGCTCGTGCCCGTGTTTGTATTATTCTGGATGCATTCATTTGTGGCAATGGGAAGTAGGATTTTAGGTGAAGCCTGTAGGTGAGATTTCCTTTATCATGCCTTGCTTTTGCCAATGTTTAGAATAATTACTTTTTTCTGTGATAACTCTTGGATAAATACCACGGTCCAAATCTCATATTCTGAATCTCATACCAGCTGTATTGTTCTGGAAAATATAATCCAAAAAAAGTAGTCCCTCATCCCCACCTCATTCTCTGACTTTTCTTGGGTAGAATACAGTGTAGCATTCACAGCGATTAGAGATGACCGCCACCAAATAGGCAGTTTGTGCTAGAGATGGGGACTACTCACCATTTTCGTGAGTCATCCTGCTTTGTGATTTGTCAAACTTGACGAATCACAAAGCACGAAGCTTCCCCCCCCATGAACCCACAAAGCACAAATTTATTTGTCAATTCATAGGGGGTTACAAAAAAAATCTCTGCCCCACTGCGGTCCCACCACTGTGCTGCCCCCCGCCATGCCACCGCCGTTGTCTGCAGCTGGCCTCTGCAGCCAAGGTCTGTAGAAAGGGACACCGGTTGCCTTTTGCAAAGATGGTGGCTGCGGCTTCATTTAGGGTAGGGAAGTTGCAGCTGCCATGTTTGCAAAGGGCAGCCTGGTAGGGAGAGGAAGGGGTGGGGGATAGGCTGTGGGGCTGCCTATCAGCATGCCAATTAGCTGATTGGTAGGCCGGTAGGCAGAATGGGAAAGCCATAGGAAGAGAGGGGAGGCTAGCATTCCCTCTCTTCCTATGGGGAAACGAATAAAAATGAGGAAATATTTATCCCTTCGTATTTGTTGGGGTCTCTGGAACCCATTAATATGAAGGGACAATATTTAACGAATCAACAATTTCTGACAAATATTGTGATCCTTTTTTTATTTGTCCCCATGCTTGTGCCCATCTCTAACAAAGATCCAGGTGGTGTACCATCTAGGTACTGACTAGACCAGATGTGATTAGCTTCAGCATGGTGGCTGCACGATGAACCTTCAGATATTCAGTTCTTCAAAACATCTCCATTTAATTAGTGTAGTATTTGTGTTTCTGTATCTATGATTCGAAATGCCAAGAAATGATCCAATATAGTGATACAATGTCAGGCCCGTGTTGCAAGCAGGAAAGAGCATCCCAGTTTTTGCATAGAAAAGGGCAGCCTGAATGATGACAAAACCGGTGTAAGCAGTCAAGATGGTCTAAGGATGCCCTCTTGTGCTCACTACCATTCCTAAAGTGACACCAAGTGAGGGAAAATCCCAGAAACTTAAAGTGAGACCAAGTGAGGAAAAATCCCAGAAACTGATTCCTTTTTCATCAATTAACCACTCCTCACCCAAACACAAATCAATTGTCAGGGCTGATTTTTGACTGTTAATTTCAAAGTTAAATATTTTTGTTTGGGCTGCTCTCGCTTTTAGAATTGTCTTGTAGAATGTTGATTTGCTGTGCCAGCACAATAATATAAATGTGCAAGAGCGCTGTGATAATGCATGAGGACGTTAGAGGGAGACCTCTTTAGCCCTTCATGTATTGTTTGACCACTGCTCTTGTCATTGGATGATGACTCCTACCATGGGCTTTGATCATATGGATTGAACCTGGCAGAGTTCAACAACATCTGAAGAGCTGCAGAATCTGCACTTCTGCTCTTGAGCATGCCTTAGTGAGTTTATAAGTTATTTCAAAGGCTTACTTCTATTGAAGCTCTAGCTGAATGATACTCATATCTAGATCTTAGAAGGCTACATTTGAAGAGGAACTTGTTACACTACTTACTATGTCTTAGCAACCAGGTTTCAAAAGAGCCATTGCTCAGACTTTACGAATAACTTAATGCATTTCATGCATTAAGAACCATGCGTTTCAGGCTGCATTGTTCTTACCAATAGCCAAAAATTTGCAAGCTGCATTGTTCCTACCAATAGCCAAAACACTTTCTAGTTTCCTCTGACAGGCAATTTTAATATTGCACTGTGGAAATGTTTTTTAAAAGGCAAACCCCCCCCCCCCGCAACCAACCAACCAGCCAACCAACCAAAAAACTCAGCTCAGAAAGAATACTTCCCTTGCTACTTAGGATTGAATGGCACGAATCTCTAATAAAGTGCCCCTAAAGTCTGTGCTCTGTCATAACTGAAGTATACTCACTACATTATGTTCAAAAAAACCAATTTTTAATCAAGGGAAACCAGTTTTGTTGTGTCTGTGCTCATCACTGACTGATAGATCCCTGTGTACCAATCTCCCTTGTACTGTCTCAAGAGCTGTTTTGCAATTCCTTTTAAATGGATTATTGTTCCCTTTTTAACTTAAATAATTAACATTCACTCAAATAAATACACAGTGTGACAATTTCTTGAAAGGAAAGAAAGCATCATCAACTATAGATGGCTAAGGGACAAAGAGGCAAGATTGTTGACTCCATTTTGTACTCAGGTCAGTCTGACATCAGTCTATCTGGTTTTATGTGATTTAATTGTAGCATCAATACCCCAGCTGGCTGGTAAGATTACTCTGGCAATACCCTATGACACACTTTTAGGCAACCTGCACAGCAGGACACCACACAGTCATGGATTATAGTCTGCCAACCGCTTGACAAGTGCTCTGTTTTGGAAGTCCTGGACAAACAACCAAAATATGTTCATGCAGTTCATGGTGAGATAGCATATGTGGGTGGTGATACACTATTTTTGACTTCTGAGCCATGAATTGTGAAGGTCTGTTAATTTACTCTGTCCTCCAGATGTAAATACTGTATTTGCTGGCATATAAGACTACTTTTTTGCCCTGAAAAACATGCCTCCAAGTGTGTGTGGGGGGTCATCTTATACGCCGGGTGCACTTCAGTTGGGATAGATATAGCTGCCCATAGTGGCCTTCCAATGCACGCCCGATGCCCATAGTAGCCTCCCGATGCCTGCCCACCTCATTCTACATACTGTCCAGTATCGTGTGGTATCCAGTGTGGCTGCGGCGAGCATCAGCAGTGAGACAGGGGTGCCAGCCTTTTCAACGTGACCGGCCCATTCTACTTGATGGGAAGCAGTGGCGCTCCAGCCCGCCACTTGTCTACGCAGAACTCACACATGCGCACGCCATTGTCTACGCAGAGCTCACATGTGCACACTTGCGCACTAGTGCTGGTCACAGGGCGCTGCGGTTATGCTGCAGCCATACAATTGTGACAATGAAAAGCACCTTTTATTTGGTGTGTGGAAGGTGTGCAGAAGAGGGGGTAGTCTTATATGGTGAGTATATAACAAATTCTATATTTTGAGTGGAAATATTGGGGGGTCATCTTATACGCCCAGTCATCTTATACGCCAGCAAATACAGTATTTAAATCTGAATATAAATCATGACACCTGAGATGAATGTAATTTTCTCTTTTACCCTGTTTAGAGCTAGTTATGATGACACTGCTACCTATACTGCAGTGGCAACAAATGTGCACGGACAGGTGTCAACCAACGCTGCTGTCATTGTGAGACGTAAGTAAACCATGGAAGCCATTGAAGAAGACACACATGCAAGGTTGCTTAAGATGCTTATGTCTCAACTGTGTCCTATTCCTTTCTTCTAGGATACAGAGGGGATGAAGAGCCCTACCCTGCTGGAATTCTCTCTGGTCACTGTAAGTTCACCTGACAGTATAGGACGTCACCCTATCAGAGTCAGAAGCCTCAGAAGGCTTTCTATTTTGCAAAATCATAGTAAAGTTGACTGCCAGCTTAGTGTGGAGTCCAGTTTCAGGTGCTGCTTTTGAACTATAAAGCACTGGCATGTTTCAGGACCACCTTTCGACCTCATACTCTCATTTTATGGACTTTCAGACTGGTTCTGCTCTGAATACCTGGCGCAGCTGCAGTCGTTTAGAATTTTGACAAAAAAAAAAAGAAGACCACCAAGTGGTCAAACTTTTTTAGGCTTTGGGGGTAAATCAAAACTGTGTTGCAGTTCCTGTTTCAGTTCTGGGGAAAGCATTCTCCTAAGATTTGTACATTTCGTTTGCATTTGTAATTTACCTTGATGTTCATTCCAAACAACCTTTAAAAAAGGTGGAACAGAACTTCAGAAGAGTTACTTTTTTGAACTATACTACTCAGAATTCCTCAGCCATCCAAGACTGTAGTAAAAAGAAAGAAAGAAGGAAGGAACTATTCCGGCCTCTAACTGAAATCTTATAGCAAAGAATGAGAGAAAACAGGGCAGAACTTCAGTGGATGACAAAATGGTACCAAATAATTCCTTAGATTGGAGATGGGTGATAGTTTTTAAAGAGAATTATCATCTCAGGGAATTACTGTACTTTAGATATTCAGGTATGCTTTTATTTTTGACCTACAATCAATTCTATTTTGTTATATTTCAAGGTTTTTTGAAGACTTGCAAAACCCTGCATGCTCTGTTTGACCAGAGGCAATAAGTATATACATCAAGGGTAATCATGTCCGTACTGTACCACCTTCAGCTGTCAGGCAGCATGTGCTCCCTCTTTTAACTTCTATCTCCAAATCTGGGCCCTCTGTCTCTGTGTTTCCATAATGTTGAAGTTATTCCCTATGTATGGCCTGTACAACATCCTCCATGTGACCTTCATTTTTTTTTCTTTGCCCACAGTGCCACTGCCTCTGGACATATGCTTCACTCATTTTGACGTTCAGTTTTTGGAGAAGTTTGGTGTCACGTTTGGTGTGGAGGGGGAAACCCTTACTCTCAGATGTGGTCTCCTGGTCACACCTGAGCTCACACGTCTCCACCCTCGGGCTGAATGGTATAGAGATGGTATGCTGTCTTTTGCTTGTTTGTCTTCAGGCAACATATATGGCTGATCTTGAATTGATTATCACTTTTGAAACAGAATGAATTAAAAAACAAAGCTTGTTTTTTAGATATTCTTGTATGGACCTCTTACCTTTCCAAGAGCATCCAACATGTGTTAAATGACTAACACTTTAATGCAACTCTTTAATGGGTTCTGCATTCTTTTATCCATAGCTTTAGACCAGTAGAAAGTCCTTTTTGATACAGAGATAACTAATGGACTTCATATGATGCCTTCTTTTCTTACCAAGTACTGATTTTAGCATGATCAGTACAAAAAAGACTAGGTTTGCATTTGTTCTGACATACAGGTCATGTTTCATTTTCCTTTGGTATTAAAAATAATATTTTCCCCTATCTCCCCCAACACCAAATTAATTATATGAACAATAAGCTGCTGAAGTGGACTTTTGTGGTTTCCTTCTGCTAATTAGACCAATGGGAATGCTGTGCATTGCTCCAAATTAGGATAGTGTAAAACATTTATTGGCTGTTAAAATCTATGGGATACAATGTATGCAAAAACCAGCTAAACCAGATACTGTACTAAGATAGGGTTCATACAGTTTAAATGACCCAGAAATATTTTTGAGATTCTTTCTTCAGATCAAAATGATGGGAATCTCATCCCAGAATAACCAATGATCCATTTGTGCCAGCGGTCAGACCATTGGCAGACATGATGATCAGCTGTTTAGCTGGGAGAAATGGACTAGAGTCAGGGAACTAAATCAGGCTCCTCCTCTTCCTCTCAAATAGCTTACCGTAGTTTGTGATATTGCTGATTACGAGATGAGATTATATTTGTACAACTCAAGATACTGGATCAAGTTGCACAGTTAAGTCCATAGCAACTATTTGTATCTAGATGATTACATATCCAGATTGATTACCACAATATGTTGCATATGGGGCTGCCCTTGAAGGCAATTCAGAACATTCAGTTGACATGAACTACAGGGCAAAGTGTATCCTGCCAGTCCTTAAACAGCTAGCAGTGCCTTGTGCATAGTGTTTCCTTTGTCATATCTCTGAATCCAGTCCAGGAAATGTTAGGATGATCTATCAGGTTGTTTGTGAACTAGTTTTCTTCTAATTTTTGTTTGTGTGGTGTCAACACATTTGCTAGAGGAAGCCAGAAGCTCCTCTGTCTGCTGTTTTTACAACCAACCTTGTAAGCAACTCCTGTTTCACATTGGTTAAATCAGAAAGCCTTTTGATTTAAGTGTCTAATACAAGTGCCAGGCCAAGGAGAAAGAAATCATCAGTCTAATCAAATATTGGCTCTTCAAATGCATTGTACATTTTGACAAGTTTTCTAATGCAAGGTTAATACGAAGAAAAAGGAATCTCGGAAAGAAGCAAGTTGTTAGAGTTTACGAGTCAGTTCTCTAGAACCTTTCTGTGTCCAAAGTAAGAGAGAATCTGATTACGTAAGCAAGCAAAATGAAACAATCTCCACAAGACTCCCAAACCTAATCATAATATCTGCTTCAAGCTACTGCTTATAATGCGGTATTAATTTTTAAAATTGAATAAAAGGTGACGGATCATTATATTAAATAATACAAACAAGGTAACAATAATGAAATAGAAAGAAATAGCAACCTTTTCCTTGATAAAATGAAGGAGCCCCTCTTCACAGGCAGTTCAAAACCAGTTTTCAACACAGACTATATATCCCTTTAATAGTATAGATATGAGGGTACCTGTCATGGTTCTATCCTATGGAATATTGGGTGAAGTACTTGAGCTCCCTGCTGTAGTTCAGTGGTATGCACGAGAGTTCTCTGGCAGAGAATAAGCATTTCACCCAACTACAGATCCCAGGATTTCTTAGGAAGAAGCCATAGTAGTTTGAATGAATCAAACTCTTATGACTATGTAGATAGTCTACATGCACCATCTTTTCTCATGATACTGTATCTTCTTTTTCAGAAATAAGTGTAGGAAAAGTAAGTTTGAAGAAAAATGCAGATAATGTTATGATGAAACCATCCATAGATGAGTAGTTCTCCCATGATGTTCTGGAATCTATTGCCTTGCCAGAAAACAAGCCATTGAAGTGAGCTATTTTTTAAATTAAAGCGTAGTTTGGCCCATGAACTGATAACCACATGAAGATCAACCAATCTGAACTCATTCAACATACTGTATGAGTGTTGATCTTTCATAAGGACCCTGTTTATAACTTCCCGTGGAACTGATGATTTCCAGGTGGCGTACTTAGGGTTCTTGCACAAACTTCGGTTGTTGTTTTAGGAGCTTATAGTATGATTCATAGAGAAGATTGCCGTTTTCTTGCTCCAGCCAGTATCATGCTGGAGAAGTCTCCCATGGCCTGGATTTTGTTTTCTTAGACAGAGTGATGGAAGATAGACATCCTAAGGAGGTGTTGTTACTCGACCTCCATACAGAGAAATAGCAAGCAATAGGTACCACTCAGGCCAGAAGGCATAGGACTTTCCATCAGGTTTCATGAACAAATCCTAAGGAAAAGCAGTCAGAAGTATAGAAGTCTCCAATATCATAGCCTCTCTCTAAGCCAGTGGTTCCCAGCCTTGAGTCTCCAGATGTTCTTGGATTAAAACTCCCAGAATCCTTCACCACTAGCTGTGCTGGCCAGGATATCTGGAGGTTATCCAAATCTGGGTGGGACAACAGATCCAGTGTATTCATGTGTTCACCTTTCCTGCACATCTCTACAGCCCTTACTTACTTTGCTTCAAGGTCGGAGGTTCTGGCCTCAGATAAGGAACATGCCACCATACTGCCTAGAAGTGTGCTTCTGCTTTAAAAAAGTGAATCATGTAGTGTGTGTTGCCACAGCAACATCAACTTTTGGCAATAACAGGTTGCCTCGTTAGTGGGATTGAGTTTAAGGCAGCCCTGCTCCTGGTAAGTTGCCCACCTTGGACAAGAAGCTGATTTAACACTGAGTGATGAAACTCAACAATACTTAGTTGACTAATAGATGAGGCAAGAAGTGGCTACAAGTGGGAGTAGTTTCACAAGCCTAAACACACAAGAAACTTACATATGAGTGGCTGAAAAAGTTAAATCTTGGTTTCAACATCATGTGGATAAGTAGCTGTCCTTAATAGTTTGCCTTCTTACTTGAAAATGTAGGACATATGTCAGTGTTGAGCAGTTGATTGTCCTGTGTAGCTACTTTTTAAAATGCTCAACCTACAGCTTTTACAATAAGTCCTAATGCATTTGCATTTAATACTACTGGAACAGTCAAGCAGAACTCTGAATGTTTACTGTAACAAGGTAGCATTGATTAGAGTATATCTGTACGGACCATTTAAGAGGGACTGTCCTCCCCCTCAAAACTAACTAATCAAATATTAATATAATAATGTCTACAGCCAAGATAAAATATTCTCCACATTTTATTGCATCAACTGGACTAGTCAATCAGATTAATTTGCATTAATCTTGAGTAGCCACCTCTCACCTGTGAGAAATTCAAACTGAATTTGATTCACCGCTCAGCAGGAATGCCCCAAAGATTTTAAATTAAGTGTATATTTATAGCAGACTTCAGATTAAACTGAAATCTGGCCTGAAGTTATCTCCCCCCCTCCCCTGTTTAATCTGACACATGCCTTGAATAGAGAAGTATATTTAAAAGGATCAAATGTGCATAAAGTGGTAACTCCCGATTAGGGGGTGCAGTCCAGCCAAAGTTATATTTAAATACCATTGATTTCACTGGGAGAACAAAGCCTGTGGTGCTTAACTCTCTGCTGTTGAAATCAGTAGGACTTAAATGTATTTATCCATGTTGAATCATGTGCTAGATTAGGTTTTCATGACATGGCTTTAAAATGATTGAGGTTTTGCAGGGAATGGGTGGCTCCAAGTGGGTTGGCTTGTTAAAAGTGGTAGCAGTGAGAGACATCCTCTGGTGAGGTCTCTGAGGGACAACTTTGAGCAGTACAAAAATAGAGCCCACGTATCTTTATAATAAATGGAAATGAGGTGAATTTGAAGATTGGCAGTTCAGTCCTTAAAGGCAGAATTTCATCTGTTTTGAAACTTCCTCCTGAATATAATGGCCCTAAAATGGCTGCTTGAGTGGTTCATGAAGAACTGAATGGCATGGCGACTTGATGACAAGGGCTTAATGACCAGTTTCTTTCAGATGTGCTCATTAAAGAATCCAGGTGGACACAACCATTCTTTGGAGAAGGCCAGGCTGCCCTGTCTTTCAGCCACTTGAACAAAGATGATGAAGGCTTGTATACCTTGCGTATCGTTTCAAGAGGAGGAATCAGCGAATACAGCGCATTCCTGTTTGTGAGAGGTATGACCAGAGCTATAACCAGTTGTCTTAGAGTCCAGGGCAAGCAGCATAAAAGATGGCTAGCACATACACACACTGACTCCAGTGCCTGTAGGACCCACTCACTTTCACCGGGTGCCTCCTCTGCTCAGTACAAGGACTATGTGGGAAGCGGGCAGAGCAGGTGGGCAAGCAAGCATGGTTCCACTTCCTGGATCACCGCTGTATCCCTGACAATCTTCTCTGCTCTGCCACCAGCTCTCTACCTCCTGCTACTGTCACGTCACAGAAATGCCCACAGTAGCCTAGCCTGACCCACGTCTGCCAGGAGGGAGGGATGTGGGAGGATTAACTTCAAGATCTAGGGGTGGCTGAGACGTAGACTCATGGCACATAGCTGCATGGTACCCGTAGCAAGGAATCAGACTCCTGGGTGAGGTTTTTCGAGCCCTCTAAATTTTGGTGTTTGGGGATCAAAGCCTACTCATGATGCCCTAGTTACAACTCTGGATGTGTCACTCTTTTGTTGTTGTTGTTGTTCATAGCTTGTTGTTGTCACACACCTATTTTTGTTACCTTATCTTCTGAGCTGAAAACATCAAATTGCTCACTGTCACCAAACGCCATCACCATGAATGTTTGGAATCATGCGTCTTACACGGGCGTAGTCAAAAATATTTGTTTCTACCTGATGCAGAGCATCCCACCCACCCAAACCAAGTTGCATGTTCCTCAAAGCCAGCAGTCAAAATATAACAGCAATAAACTGAATAAATCAATAATTTGCTGTCTTGCCTTGACACTTGAAATCTGCCGTCTCAGGTGGCTGCCCCACTCTGCCTAATGGCAGGGCCAGGCCTGCTCTAGGAAGCACTCAATTCCATTGATTATGGTGTCATGGCTGACTGTTGTTCAGATAGTAGTTCAGAAACTTGCATGTCTGGAACAAAGTACTTGAGCTTTTTCAAGAATTTAGCCTTAATTATGTAACACCTGAGGAAGAAAAGAGAAAGGTTTGCCTAAGAGGGTTTAAAAAAAGCACTGATGAAAGGGAGGTGAATATATTAAGACTGAATGAAGGTCACAGGTTGACCTCACATTTGCATTGAGAATTCCCCTTGTGACTTAGAATAAGGTGATGCAAATCCTTAGGGGCAGAAACTCTGCAACAGGTTTCTTTTTCTTTAAAATGAGCACATTTCTATACATGCAACCTTTGAGATTCAGTTAAAAGCAGCAGTCTGTATCCTTAGTGGGTGTTACTACATGGGCATTTGTCCTGCTGTTTAGTCCTTTCTGAGGATTGGCTGTTTTCTTCCTTTTCCTTGCAACCATGGAACATGTCAACATGAACTGATATGTCCCCAGAACATTCCTATGCACACCTTTTTGGGCTGCTGTCAGAGTCTACTCCCTTTCGGTTCATTTCCAGCACATGTGATTGCTGGGACTGAACCAAAAGCAGATGGCCTGCAGTTAATTTTCCATCTGCTTCCAATTTCCCAATATCATTAAGTGGCTTGTACAATTTAGCCACTTCATGATATTGGGAAATTAAAACTTTCTCTCTTTCTCTGTGAATGGGGAGAGGAAGGAGGCAATCTTTTTTTTTTTTTACAAAAAAAGTCTATTAGGCAATCCTGATGCCCTGTACATTTTAAGGGGGGAAATGGAAAGCTTCCTCCCAGAAATGGAGGAGACAGGAGAGGGCAAAGAGTGGGATTTTGTTTTGTTTTGTTTTTGTTCTTTTTCCTTTAAAGGGAGACAGGCAAAATATGTCATTTTGATTCAAGGATGGCATCTCTGTATGGCCTTACATAACCCTATTTAGCCTGATCCAGCCTGCTGTAACTGAGCCATCTGCCAAGCACTGTGCTGAAAGCATACGTATACTCTATGGTATCTATCTCTGATAGTGAACCTAATTACTTGTGAGGTGAGGCTAAATGATTTCCGTAGGATTTGCTTCCAAGTAAAGAAGTCCAGCCCAATACCTTTTGCTGCTTGAGGAGATAAACAAGATAGCATCACGCAACAAACACAAAGACACTGACACAGAGACACAGACACAAAACAGACACATAGAGGTACTCACTAGTTGAAATCCTGTATAACTTTCGAAAGTGAATTTCTGTAAGTTAAGAAATCTGGACAAACATTGTCTATTGCATGCTGAGTTATGTGAGTCAGCATCACTCAGTGATTTAGGCATCTGGCTATGGAGCCAGAGGTTGGGAGTTTGATTCTCCACTGTGCTTCCTTGACAGGAGCTACACTTGATAGGGTCCCTTCCAGGTGTGATCAGAAGGATAATGACGATTGAACAGATAAAGTCTACAAATATTTTGATTAACTTACAGGAATTCACCTCTAAAGGTTAAGCCCACAGTGTAACCATGCAACAGGATTTCAGCCTCTGTCTAAAAACGCTGTAGTTCAATTCTGCTGTGTAAGGTAGAATTTTGATTAAACAGAAAAGGACCTGAAGGTATGGCTGCCTTGAAACCTTCTAATATGAGTGTTTCAAGACAGGCTTTGCTCAATAATCACAGTGCTGCCCTCTGCAACATTTGCCCCCTGAGGAAGCTTCTTTAGTCTACCTAATGGTAGGGCCAGCCAGGAAGGTGCACTCAGGATTGTATCCTAAAAATAAACTACTTTATACAAGAAAAATCTCCATGCCATTACATTTAGGTGTGTAGGCATATAGGATTTAATGCCTTAATTTCTCACTGTGAAAGAAACACCTACATTGCCACATAAAAAGCCGGCCTTCCTGTTTTCCTCTCCCCAGAGTGACAGCGTCATTGCCTTTCCAAAGCAATTAGCCATCCCTCACTCAAAAATCAAAGTGAAGAATTTTACCTCAGAAGGATAAATGTGGTAGAAGAAGGACACACGCAAGAAAGAGCAGAATGTTAGCAGGGACTGGCTTTTTAGCAGAGAGACTGGAAATTTACCATATTTTCTCAGACAGAATAGCCACTGACTGTGCTGGGTTGAGGATTTTGGGAGCTGTAGTTTTTTTTAAAAAAAGAGCAATGTTTCCAAACTCTCTCTATATTCACTGATGAAACTATAGACTTAGAAGGAACTTCAAGACATGATAGGTGTTGAAAATGCTTTCAGAGTGTACACAGTGTGGAAAATGTACATTTTGGCTCTTGAGGGACATCTGCATAGAGATTATGTATATAAATTGTAATCCCTTTACGAGATTATAATTGGATCCTTCATGCTATGAAGGCAACTGTGATTTACCGAAGTATCAGATTTATGGTTTCATTTCTTTTTAATGCTGCTCTGGTTAGTTTCACAGAAATCCCAAATAAAGTATCATGCACCATGTCTAGTTAAACTGAGGCCACAGTGTGATTTATTTTGGATTGTTCTTTGATTTTAGATGCTGATGCACCAGTCATTGGGGCACCGGGAGCACCAATGGATGTGAAATGCCACGATGCTAACAGGGACTATGTTATTATTACCTGGAAACCACCAAACACAACTCACGAAGCTCCAGTTATTGGATATTTTGTAGACAGGTATACATAGGCCTGCAGGCAAAAGTATTTTTCTTTAGCATACCCATTCCAGAAAGATATTTAAATAAAGCATAGCTTTTTAAGTGGAAGTTTTACAATGGTTTTGCTCCCTGTAGTATGTTAAATCAGAATCATTCAAACCCCTGTTATTGCTCCTGTTTCTGTCTGTTGTTGTGTGGTTTCTCCACAAATAAAAATTCATCATCCCTAGCCCCAAAGATTTTGAGCTGGTTCATACTTGCATGTACATCACCTAACTCTACTTGCATGTACATCACCTCAGTGACTCACAGCATATGAACCAAATCAGTCTTGGAACAGTTGTTTTGGGACAGAAATGTATAGGAATCCCCATCACTTTTGAGGACTTGCTGTTTAGTTGTTAAGTTGTGTCCGACTCTTTGTGACCCTATGGACCAGAGCACGCCAGGCCCTCCTGTCTTCCACTGCCTCAAATTCATGTTGGTCACTTCGCAGAAACTGTCCAGCCATCTCGTCCTCTGTCGTCCCCTTTTCCTCTTGCCTTCACTCTTTCCCAACATCAGGGCCTTTTCCAGGGAGTCCTCTCTTCTCATGAGATGGCCAAAGTACTGGAGCCTCAGCTTCAGGATCTGTCCTTCCAGTGAGCACTCAAGGTTGATTTCCTTCAGAATGGATAGGATTGTTCTCCTTGCAGTCCAGGGCACTCTCAAGAGTCTCCTCCCAGCACCACAGTTTCTTGGACTACAACTCCCAAAATCCTGTAACTATCACTGGCAAACAAGGAACTTTTCCAAACTTTGGAACCAACTCCATTTATGGCCATTTTATCTCAGATGATCTGAAATCCTCTTGGGGGATAAGTATGTATGAGTGTTGGGGGAGTTCATTTCCATGTGTGAGCTGCTGTATAGCATTGCAGCCATTAAGTGACCAGCATATTTGTGTTAATGGATTGGTTTCTTACAGCAGGAGGTGTCCTTCTGGTCAGTATAATGCAGGACTCTGGGAGGAGATTGTCATTACATTTCCTTTGTACCATAAATTACACCAGGATCCTGTCTGCTACCCCATTGTCATTGTATTCATTGACCCTTGCTCTAGCGTCAGCTGTAGGTGACAGGCCTAATGTGTGTGGCAATAAAGTAACATACAGTACATGAGAGTGGCCTTGGCTGCCAGATAGGTGGTATAAAAATCAAATAAATGAATGAATGAATGAATGAATGAATGCATGAATGCCTGAATGCATGAATACATGTACTCAAATTTCCCACATGGTTTGCCCACTCCATGTCATTCCATTAGTCAAATATTCCTAGTGCTCTGTTGCTTAAATTGTTTATTAGAATATGTTGAAAACTCTCCTGCCTTCCTGTTTTTGTTTTTGTTTCTAAACTAGGTGTGAAGTAGGTACTGAAAACTGGGTTCAGTGCAATGATGCTCCTGTAAAAATCTGCCAGTACCCAGTGACTGGATTGTTTGAAGGCCGTTCCTACGTGTTCCGTGTGAGGGCTGTCAACCAGGCTGGCATCAGCAGGCCATCTAGGATCTCTGAGGCAGTAGCAGCTCTTGATCCTCTTGACTTGGAGAGGTTGCAAAGTAAGTTGTTCGGTGGGTTACAGGAGTTCTTCAGCATTTGTTATGTGACTCTAAATCCACTTACAAAGCAGTAAAGCTAAACTGCATGATATGTTCAATTCATAGGTCTATCTGTTTTATTTATTTGAATGATAAATAATAATTATAAATAGGGGGACCTAGGGTGGCTCACAACAGGTAAAATAAATTTTAAAACACTCCACATCACAATTAAAAACACCCAATTAAACATAGATTAAGTTTAAAACAATGAAGCATAAAAACAATTTAAAAAAACATGAAAAGCCTATAAGATCTCAGCATGCCTGAAGGCCTGCTTGAAAAGGAAGCTCTTAGACGGATGACAGAAGGACAAGAGGAAGGGGGCCAACCTGGCTTTTCAGGGAAGGGCATTCCAAAGCCTGGAAGCAGCCACTAAGAAGGCCTTCTCTCGTGTCCTTACCAAGCAAGTTTGGGAAGGTGGTAGAACCAAGAAAACGGCCTCCCTAGAAGATCTTAAGAGCTGATAAAGCTCATATGGGGTGGATACGATCCTTCAAATAGCTTGGACCCAAGCCATATTGGTAGTCTCAACTAGAACAGACTCATTGGCTGAAATCCAGTACTAGGTCATATCTTGGGTAGATCTCTGGAACTTGCATTGGTGTGACTCACCAAATCCCCACTGACTGAATTGTCTTCCTCTAGTTGTGAATTTCTGTTGGATTCTAGTCATTGAACTGTTTCTTTAATTTTATTTTGTGGCTCTCCACATATGGAAATCACATTGATTTAACACAGTGGTTCTTAACCTTGGGTCCCAGATATTTTTGGACTGCAACTCCCAAAAATCCTGGCCAGCACAGCCAGTGTGTTGAAGGCTTCTGGGAGTTTTAGTCTAAGAACCTCTGGGGGGCCTAAGGTTGAGAACCACTGATTTAATGGAACTCAGCTAGTTAGGACTATCAGTAGCATTTTGGCCATAGGTGATCAAATAATTAGTCTGTTTCTCCTTTTTTTCTACACACATGTAAGCTTATGGGTCCCCATTAATCCAAACTGAGATTACTATGTATAAGGAGGGAAGGTTTAACTCTTCCCCACTTTAATATTCCTTGAAATATGTATGAGTTTTAAAAAGAAAAAAGAGAACTTCACTATCCCATCTACTGAGAGGGACAAATATTGACAGGAAAGCAGGTGTTGGGAGAGGTTTAAACCTCTGTTGCTTGTGTATAGTATTCATGATCTGGATCCAGACCCTGGGACTTGTTCTATGTTGTGTGCCATTAAGCCAGAACCCACTTACAGTGGGGTCTTGACTTGAGAACTTAATCCGTATTGGAAGGCAGTTCTCAAGTCAAAAAGTTCTCAGGCCAAATCTGCATTTCCCATAGGAATGCATTGAGAACCGTTTGATCCGTATCTGCTCTTTTCCGTCCATAGAAATTAATAGGAAGCTGCTATTCCTCTTTCAACCACTAGAGGGGGATATTTTGTTTCTTTTTTTCTTAGGTCAAGAAAGGTTCAGGGAAGGCAGGGAAAATACAGTCCAGGCAGTACAGTGGACCCTTGACTTATAGAATTCATCTGTATTGGAACGGTGGCTGCAGGTCAAAAAGTCTGTAGGTCAAGTCTCCATTGAGCTACAGTGCATTGAAAACCGATTAATCCCGTAACAGGCCATTTTTGTTCCATTTTGGTTTTTTTCTGGTCTGTAAGTCAAATCTCAGTCTGCAAGTCAAATCTAAATTTTGCGGCCGGAGAAGTCTGTAACTCAAAAAGTCTGTAAGTCAAGCCGTCTGTAAGTCAAGGGTCCACTGTATAGTTATCTTAATAGAGCTTTCACAGTAAGTGAGCTACTGTATCTAAGTTGTGGTTTTACCAGTTCCACTCCCTCAGTAAGTTTCCATGACCAAGTAGGGATTTGAACCCATGTTTTCTGAGTCTGCCTGTCAATCTATCCACTAAATCACACTGGTTATCCATAGTATTAACTCGTGTACAAAGAAAAATAGTGGGGCAGCTGCACGCTGCTAACGTGTGTCATCTGATTTTAGTGACTGAATTCAGTGACACCCCCCTTTGAGGAATAATTGTTAGGATTGCACTTCCAGTCAAGAAAAAGTGAGAAGAAGATGGTGTTTCTCTTACACCAGTGAGACACAGAAGTAACTTTTGTCTCTTCAGAGAGGAAGGGAGCTGTTTGTCCTCCCTCCCAATATATTTCCATGCTAAATGAGAATGCAAGAGAACAAAGACCTTATGATGTCCTCTACTCTTGAAAGTCTTGGGCTGTAATTTAAAGGTAATGGCTGTGATCAAGTGATTCCTTTTAGCTGTGCTGAGGAGCTTGCATGCATTTATATTTCATTATTTCCATATGATAATCCAGGTCTCAGATATGATACACAATGTGTACAGATTTCTGCCTGCTGCAGGATTGTGCCCAGTCTGCAGCTTCTCCCTCCCCTCTCAGATGAATCACACAAGCCCTCAAACCTCCCCTGGTTATGTCAGGTTACAAATAATTCACTCTGACATGGTTTAGAGATTTCCATATGGATGGTCCTCTCCCCTTAGCATGAAGTGGTCAAATCCTTGCCTAGCCAGCTAGAACTGATTTCCATTGCTCTCGGATTCCATCCTAGATGCCAATGGTTATGTCTGGGTTAGTTTGCTAGGACTGTTCTTTAAAAAGTAATAATTCAAGGAAGTGGACTGGAAAGAAAGACACACACACACACACACACCGGACTGGAAAGAAAGAAACACACACACACAGAGAGAGAGAGAGAGAGAGAGAGAGAGAGAGAGAGAGAGAATGAAAGAGAATTGCTTTTAAGATAATACTTTGATTAAGCCAATTCAAAGATTGCACAATAACATCTCACTTACCAGTGGGCCTAATTTAAGTACTGTATCAAGAAGATTTTTTGTTTTCTTAACAGCTGATACAGCTACAGTATATCACAGAAGTGAGTACACCCCATCACATTTCATAAGTATTTTAATATATATTTTCCTGTGACAACACTGAAGAAATGACACTTGGCTACAATGTAAAGCAGTGAGTATACAGCTTGTATAACAGTGTAAATGTGCTGTCCCCTCAAAATAACGCAACACACAGCCATTAATGTCTAAACCGCTGGCAACAAACGTGAGTACACTCCTAGGTGACAATGTCCAAAATGGGCACAAAGTGTTGATATTTTGTGTGGCCACCATTATTTTCCAGCACTGCCTTAACCCTCTTTGGCACAGAGTTCATCAGAGCTTCACAGGTTGCTACTGGAGTCCTCTTCCACTCCTCAATGACAGCTGGTGGATGTTAGAGACCTTGCGGACCTCTGCCTTCCATTTCAGGATGCCCCACAGATGCTCAATAGGGTTTACGTTTTGGTGGTATGTTTGGGATCATTACTCGTATCGTGTTGGAATATTGCCCTCCGGCCCAGTCTCTGAAGGGAGGGGATCATGCTGTGCTTCAGTATGTCACAGTACATGTTGGCATTCATGGTTCCCTCAATGAATGGTAGCTCCCCAGTGCCGGCAGCACTCATGCAGCCCCAGACCGTGACACTCCCACCACCAAGCTTGACTGTAGGCATGACACACTTGTCTTTGTACTCCTCACCTGGTTTGCTGCCATGTGCACTTGACACCATCTGAACCAAATAAATTTATCTTAGTCTCACTGGACCACGGGACATGGTTCCAGAAATTCATGTCCTTAGTCTGCTTGTCTGCAACAAACCGTATGTGGGCTTTCTTGTGCATCATCTTTAGAAGAGGCTTCCTTCTAGGACGACAGCCCTGGAAACCAATTTGATGAAGTGTGCAGCGTATAGTCTGAGCACGGACAGGCTGACCCCTCCACCCCTTCAACCTCTGCAGCAATGCTGGCAGAACTCATACGTCTATTTCCCAAAACCAGTCTCTGGATATGACACTGAGCACCGGCACTCAGCTTCTTTGGTTGACCATGGCGAGGCCTGTTCTGAGTAGAACCTGTCTTGCTAAACCACTGTATCGTCTTGACCACTGTGCTGCAGCTCAGTCTCAGGGTTTTGGCAATCTTCTTATAGCCTTGGCCATCTTTTTGTAGAGCAACAATTGTTTTTTTTCAGATCCTCAGGTAGTTCATTACCATGAGGTGCCATGTGGAACTTCCAGTGACCAGTCTGAGAGAGTGAGAGAGATAACATTTGCTCCCCCTTCACACCTGAGACTTGTGACACTAACAAGTTTCATGATATCAGGAAGGGAAATAGCTGTTGTTCTTTAGTCATTAAGTTGTGTCCGACTCTTTGTGATCCCATGAACCAGAGCACGCCAGGCCCTTTTGTCTTCCACTGCCTTCTGTAGTTTGGTCCAATTTGGACATTGTCACTTAGGGGTGTACTCACTTTTGTTGCCAGCGGTTTAGACATTAATGGCTGTGTGTTGCATTATTTTGAGGGTACAGCACATTTACACTGTTATACAAGCTGTAATGCTCACTGCTTTATGTTGCAGCCAAATTTCATTTCTTCAGTGTTGTCACATGAAAAGATATACTAAAATATTTATGAAATGTGAGGGCGTATACTCACTTCTGTGATATACTGTACATGTGAGTAAAAAAACAATGAAATTCGGACATTTATTTCTGAAGAATTTAGCACTGTATGAAACACACTACTGGTTAAAATACTAACTGCAACCGCCACATGAACTTCATTTCATTTTGACCCATGGCATGATAGTGAACAACATCAGAAAAGCCATGCTGGTTGAGGAATTAAATTGTTTGAGGAATCAGACTATGATGAAGACAGCCATTCCCTGTCACTTGTCCAAAGAATGTGATCCCAATGACCTGGATGCAAAATATTCTCCCACTGGTGGGAGCTTTCTCTGACCCGAGGTCCTCCATCAAAGGGAGAGAGGGAAATGACTTTTATTGATTCCTCTTTCCAATTTCCTGCAAACTCTGAAAAAGGTACACCAAAGGGTTGTAGAACCCTTGAGAAGCCCTGGTTGGGGTCTGCAGGAGGAGAGAGAATCTATAAAGCCAGTCCCCTTCAGCTAGTAACATCTTTCACTGGACTAGAAAGTTCCCAAAGAAGGTCAGGAGAACTTTAGTTTGTAGTGGGCGTAACCACACTTCACAGGTTCCCAGATGGTAGAGATTCCATTCTTAAACACGGCTATTAGAGTAATAGTTATTGTGGTGTAGTGGGCAGACAAGGGCTTAGGTCTGGCTTGAAATCCCTGCTCAGCCATGGAAACTTGTGGTGGTGGTTGGTGATGGTAAAAACACTCCTTAAATATCTCACACACCTTGAAAACGCTTCTATGGTTAGAACATGAGAACATAAGAAGAGCCCTGCTGGACCAGGCCAAGGGCCCATCTAGTCCAGCTTCCTGTATCTCACAGTGGCCCCCACCAGATGCCTCTGGGAGCACATGAGACAACTAGATACTTCTCTCCTGATCCCCCTCCCCTCCATCTGGCATTTGGAGGTCCCTTCCTTCTAAGCCTGGAGATTATACATCTCCATCATGGCTTGTGACCTGTGATGGAGGTTTCCCTCCAGGAATCTGTCCAATCCCCTTTTAAAGGCTACCAGAAGTTGAATATGTCTTGATGACACAACAAATAAAGATCAGGTTAATTACCAGCCACATCTCCATGTTGTCAAATCCTTTTTAAAAAACCACACACCTCTGCAAATTGCCACAACAATCATTTATGTAGGAATACGAAAGCAACAATATGCCTGAAGAAGTATTTCTTCTTGTTGTTGTTGTTGTTGTTGTGAGTGCAGAAAAGCAACAGTATGCCTGAAGAAGTATTTGTTGTTGTTGTTGTGAGTGTCCTTACATCCTCACATTTCAAGAGAAATGAAGGTGATAACTTCTTGTCAAACTTCTAGTTTCATCAAATTTAAAATATAGTCTTTAATTCTTGGTTAACCTTTTATGTATATATCTAATTTTGCTGCTATTTATCAACTTAAAATCAGCCAGAACACTGGGCAATATTCTAGGCATAAAAACTCATAATACACAATAGTAGGAGTAACAATGAGTACCCAGCTTGCTGGGGGTGGGGAGTGTGGAATGTGTTGTTTGTGTAATTATTCTGTGAACCATCCAAAGAGTGGTCTAGCAATATGGGGTGGTATATAAATCGAAACAACAAGAATGAATTAAGGAATGTAAAAGTGACATTTGTAGTTAAGAGCATTGTTGAGAATGCCTGAATTCATTTAGTTAGCACAGAGCATTAAATGTGAGTAATTAATTTTTGTTTTGCTCTTTAGCTATTCATTTGGATGGAGGCAACGATATTGTCATCTATCAAGACGACCTTGAAGGTATGGCATTTGTCTTCTGTTTTGCTTGAACTACATCTTCATCAGTGCTCCTCTCTACCAGCTCTGAGTACTTTGTTTGGTTCCTGCTCTCCTTGCGCCATCTTCTCTCCTTCTCCTTAGCTTTTCAAGTTTTGTGTGTGTTTGTTTCCAAGTTTCTTTCCCTATATAGAAACTTGAAAACAAAACCAGAGTTATTAGAACGTTGCAAATTTGAATACTGTGGAAATTGCTTGCTGTCCTCAAGTGCTTGTGAGGTGTTGCACACAATCAGGGTTTATCAGTACTACATTTTAGCTCCTATGATTGTCCTTCAAAAATCCTGGGAACCATAATTCATTGACATGCTTACATGCAGGGGCCAGGAAGTTGGTGCCTTCTGGATCTTTTAGACTGTAGTTTGGACTGGACTAAACTAGCGAGATCAAGGGCAAAGCATTATGGGCGCTGTAATTTGAACTATCTGGAGGCTATGAAGTTATTTGTCCCAACAAAAATCCTCTTTCCCACCCATCCAGACCACAATTGTAATGAACAATGGTGGCAAGAAGCAGAAATGAGGTGCTAGTCTAGTTGAACCTGTTTGGGGGTTGCAGGGGAGGAACAGTGGAATTCTCAGTGTATTCAGGTAGTACAAGATGTGTACATTAAAATTTTCCATTAACAACCCAGTTCTAACCCTACTCACAACGCTACTGCTGTTGCTGAGCCCCAAATTCATTGAAATTCTCAGAGGGGCAGAAAATATCCCACGTCACTTAATGCAAGTGGTTTTCCTTGAATCCGATGCATGGGGGCTTGAATGAAATAGGCTTCTTTGGCCCTCCCATTTCAATGTTTGAGCGGCCTCAGTTCCTTCTGCTGCCTGTCACCTCTTTATAAGAAGCCTGCTTTGAAGAGGTGGACCTTCTGCTTTAGAGACTTGGGCAGGGTAGCAGGCAGCGAAGGTGGCTCAGAGTGAGGAGAAGTTAGTTTTTAGGATAGCAACACTGAGGATTTCCCAGCTAGCACTGAAAATTTGCTGTTCCAAGCTCTGAGTCTTTCTTTCTCACACACAAACACATTGCAGGACCATGCTTTGCTGTGTTGACTGGAGGATTCATGATGTCAGCGTCATTTTTATGGCATTCTGGTGGTTGTGGTTTAACCCCCATGTTCTCTAACAGAAATAAATATCATCCTAATCACAATGCTGGCAAAATCTTCCTCTCTCCGGAGAAGAAGAAGAGGCTCACCAGATTGTCTCCTGCCTTTGAGAGAACCCCCCCAAGTTATCTCATCCCTATCACTCCAGAAGTGTTAGTTCTTCACTGAGGAATGAATGAGAGTAGAGTGGCACGCCATGGAGAACTGCATCCAAACAAGGAGAATTGAGACAGATACCATATTTTTCCGTGTATAAAATGACACTTTCCCCTAAAACCGTTAGAGGAAAAAATTGAGGGTCGTTTTATACATGGAAGGAGGCAGAGGAGAAGGAGCCACTGCTGGGGCTCACCTCCAGCTCACGTTGCCGCCTTGTCCCCTGCCCAAAGGGAGCCCGCGAGTGGCACTGGAGGAGGTGATTCCAGCCATGGCAGCAGTCAATGGGCTGCTGTGAGAGGCGGAGGCCAAGGAGCAGCTGCACTCGGTTGTCTCTCGCGGCTGCCCATTGACTGCTGCTGCAGCAGCTGCGCTCGGCTGCCTCTTATGGATGCCCATTAACTGCTGCTGCCGCTAGTGAAATTGCCACCTCTAGTGCCACTCACGGGCTCCCTTCAGGCAGGCTCGGCTGCCTCTTATGGATGCCCATTAACTGCTGCTGCCGCTAGTGAAATTGCCACCTCTAGTGCCACTCACGGGCTCCCTTCAGGCAGGGCGAAATCGCCACCTCTGGCGCCATTCACGGGCTCCCTTCAGGCAGGGGACAAGGTGGCAACATGAGCTGGAGGAGGTGACTGGGCAGCTGTGGTGGTATCAGCAACAGGCGGAGGCGGAGCTGTGCTGGGCCGCCCCCCACAGCTGCCTATTGACTGCTCCTCTGCCTCCAGCAAGGGCCATAATTGGGGGTAATCTTATACATGGGGGGGTGTCGTATACACGAAAAAAATATGGTACATAGTTATTGTGGGATTTATGCTGCTCTCTCTATCTCTCTTTCTGTGTTCCATTCTCCTCCCTCCTTTCCCTATATAGAAAAGAAATCACCTTTTAAACAGTTGTCCCCCCTGTTCCCCATAGTCCTGTCCCAATTGTGTGTGTGTGTGTGTGTGTCAAAACTGAAAAAAGAACTGATTCAAGAAGGAAAACAATTGTTTTAATCCTACTTTGTTGCAAACTGTAATGAACAGTTTGCACCATTAAAACCTTGGTATGTGTGTCTGGAAGCCCTCACTGGGTTACTGTCCCTTATTTTAAAGATACTCTCTCACTGTTAGTAATGCCTCTTTGCTGTATGAAACACTGCTGTAAGATTGACCTTCAGTGTTTGTATTATTGGGGTTGCTCTCAGCAAACCTGGCTGCTATGGAACACCCAAAACAGCCAACATTTTTGCAGTAGGGGGTCTCCAGCTAACAAACTGATGAGGCCATCAAGTGTGGAGGGTATGGCAGTCACTTACATCTACTTCCTTGCCCTTCCACTATAGTATCTTGTACCACAGAGCATGTGGCATAATGTTCTCATTTTAGCCTGAGTTCCCTCCAGTACCCACATGAGTATTGTGATGACACATTGCCCATTTCATAACATGGAAATTATGGTGGCTGAGTTGCTATTTGGGATAACATCCAGATACTCTCCATAATGCCTTGTAAAATTAGGATTTGTAAGGAGCAAACTGTGAGCCTCATAGGGTCTTACAGAGATCCCAATACTCCAACATTCCCACCCCAAATGGCGCAGTTGTCAAGCTTGAAGAGGCTTTTGGGGGGTGTTGAGAAGTGTGGATTTTCGTGATCTAAGAGAAGGTGAAAATGCACTCCAGGCCCTCAGAAGTTGCCTACTCTTGGAGTTATTAGCTTCTAGAACAGAACATGGAATAAAGTACGAACAAGACTTGGAAAAGTTACTTTTCTAAGTTGCAGCTCTACGAATCCCCCCCACCAGCAAAGCTGCTGCTTGTGCTGGTTAAGGGAATGTTCTAGGAGATGAGCCAAAAATGTAATTTTTCCATCCCAGGCAAACTGAGCTGCTGCAGACAGACAGACACTAAGATCCCAGTCGCGTCTCAGATGTCAAGGTCTTGAATTGTCATTTGGTGAGAATTTGAGAACAGAGGTGAATAGATAAAAGGACTGCGCAGCTACATTGGTTCTCATTGTCAATCCTGAAGTAGAAGAGAGATTTCTACCGTGATGCTTTCTCTCTCTGTGCTTTACCTGTACGGTTTTATATTGAATTGCTGTGATCTTCCATGCAAATTCTTCTCCTTGCTCATTTTTCAGGGGCGGAAGCTCTAGGGCTCCAGTCTTTGATCAGCCCTGTCTCACATTTGCATGAAGCACGAAGACTTTATCAAGCCATTTAGTACAGCAGATTAAAGTGATTCAAGTGTGATCAAAGTGAAACCAAAATCTTGTGAGACAAATGCACAGAGATCTTTTTTTCCGCTGACTGAATTTCTCTTTGCTTTGCTTTCCTTTTTTTCACATTAGCTGTGAAAAATCAATGCTGCACTTTTAATTGGCGTGCTTGGGTTTTCTCAAAATAGAAATGACGCAGCCATTGTAAATTGTGAGGCTGATATTATAGCCCTTATTAGTAAAGCCATGCTCTCTACTGAGGGAGTTCAGAAAGACAAACTCTCCCATAAGCATTGACCTGGGAGGTTAATCTGGCATTTAACACTTACTGAGTTTATTACTCCTCTAGGCGACGTTAAGATTCCAGGACCTCCCACCAACGTACACGCTTCAGAAACCAGCAAAACATATGTTGTACTCAGCTGGGATCCACCTGTTCCCCGTGGCAAAGCGCCATTATCATATTTCATTGAGAAGGTACTGTGCGGCATAGTTCTGTTCTCTGTAAGGCATTTCATGGCCACAGACCATTTCATTAGGAATATTTTCTTTTCTTTTTTTTTTGGAACAAAACTGTGCATTTAGCAAATTCTGATTAGTTGATCAGAGGATCAAAAAGACTTCAGAACTAGAAGGCTTTGTTGCATGCATCCAAGCAGTTGTTGAAACACAAGACTTGAAAAATAAAAGTTGCTTTTTCTGTGCTTGGTCCTGGACATGTGCACAAACAGCCACTTGAAACTTTCCACTCTGTTCATGGTCCCAGAAACCTTGTGAAGTGACCTTTTTCTAAGATGTTTTTTTTTGGGGGTGGGGGTGGGGAGAGAGCAATCTCAGAATGTCTTTTTCCAAAAAATATCATCTGAGAAATGTCGGCTCAGCAGTATTTGATGACGCTTGATTACAGTGAGGAAAATGCATAAGGTACCATTGAGAAACTGTGATGCTTCAGCTTTTTTGCAACGCAGGGCTTGCAGAAGTGAAGCTGCCTTGAGCAACAGTTGCCAAGAGGCATCCCACCTCTCAAGCAGTCCTTCTAAGGTTCTTCTCCATCTTGGTTGATGTCGTAGATGACATGTTGGGACATTGTCCTTTGCTGAATATCAGTGCTTGATGGCCTGTTTTCAGCTAGTGGGTACAGGAAGAAGAGGAGATCCTTACTTCACAAGATGAGATGAAAGAGAAAAAATCAGTACAGTTGACCAGGGTTAACTCATATATGCATTTAACCTAGAAGTAAAACCAGTTGACTTCTAAACAGATTTGTTGTGATTATACTGTAAGGAACCACTTAATTCTCAAAAACTGGGTTATGTAAAGCCTTTACATAATCCCTAGGAATATACAAAGTGAGTTTTCAGTGCTCTAGAGCAGTGGTTCTTAACCTTGGGTTATTCAGGTGTTTTTGAACTGCAACGCCCAGAAGGCTTCTGGGAGTTGCAGTCCAAAAACACCTGAGTAACCCAAGGTTAAGAACCACTGCTCTAGAGTTCTGTTTCAGGTATAGCTTGAACAGCATCTGGAGCATAAGATGAGAAGCAAGAAAGCCAGAAATTATCTATGGAAGAAGTTTTAATAAAATGCAAAAGTTAGCTTTGCTTTCAACTCTTTAGTGATCCGGCAAAGTTATTATGTATCTCAGAATTTTGTTTGTACTCATGGATCTCACAAGTACTTAACAGTCATGACTCACAAAGACAATAAAGTAACACCTTTATGTGGACTAAGCAGGATTCAGGAAGTGACTCATTCTCAGATTCCAAACTCTCAGAAAAGAGCATCTTTTTCCAAAAAAATCTTGAAAACAACACCAACAATGCCTCAGCATTTATATGTCTATCATCAGTGTCAGGCTTCACCTTGCATTTAAATTGGCCTTGTCAACTCATGCTTTGTGATTCTCTATCAGACAGATAACCAACCAGATAGTTGGCAGCTTTACTGCCTTAAAACAATAAAGATTTGTGGCAGTGGTTCCTTAATGTGAGAATCTTGAGTGCCTCCATTTACAGCTGCCTCACAAAGTCTTAATACCCTCTTTTTCCTTGTTATAGTCTGTGGTCGGCAGTGGAACCTGGCAGAGGGTCAATGCTCAAGTAGCAGTGAGATCGCCTCGTTATGCAGTGTTTGATCTGGCGGAAGGGAAATCGTACGTGTTCCGAGTTTTGTGTGCAAACAAGTATGGAATTAGTGATCCTTCTGAAATAACACCTCCTATTCAAGCTCAAGAGCGCATTGGTGAGGAAACTTTTAACCTTCAAATCTTTACAAAATATGATGTCAAAAAACAAACAATGCTGAGAAACTGAACGTGCTGACAATACATTTGTTTAAGCATTTTCTTGGGCCTCTTTTGACATTTGTCATTGCTAATGGGGAGAATATTAGCAAGAATTAGCAAGACTTTTCAGGCCTCTTGGTTGTATAGCTCGAAATGGCTCTTTGGACTTCAACTCTCGGAGTTCTCTAGCTGGTGTGGCCTTTAGCTGTGCTGCCAAAGGTATTCTTGCAGTCGTAGGCTCTTGGAAGGGAACTTTCTGAAAAAGTTGAAATGTTTGGTTTGAGTTCTGATTTCTGCTTTGTGGCAATATTGGGGATTTCTTCATAGTGTTCATGAAGAAATCCCCAATGCCGGATAAGGTTATCAAATGCTAGATTTAATTTAATCAACACTTCTGATTAGCATTTCTAAACATTTGTTTTACTGTCTCTGTCCGTAGAACTAATGTAATATCACAGTAATCCCAATGTAATATCACGGGGCACTGTGGATTCTTGTTCAATGTTCTTCAGTATAATTTAGCCAAAGGTAAACACTGTTAAAGTTTCACTGGGAAAAATAAGCCCATCTTTCATAAAATGTTTACTACCATTGGGTTAGGTCAACAGAACAATCTCATCATCTTGGAAGAGTCCGTTTTTAGAGCTCCAAAACGACTCCTTAATTTCTGTGCAAATTCTCCCAACGCTGCTCAGGAATGGTTGAGCAGGGGAAGGCAAATCCCTGGGAGACAAGGACAATAACAGCACTGATGCTCAACTGGTGGATTGGGGCTGCTGCCTGGAAAGAAGAGCCTATAGCCTGGCTGAGCCTGTAGCCTTGCTTGGCTCCTTGAATGTTGTCACAGTTGTACACAGGGGCCCTCAGAACCAGATCCAAGCTAGACAGTTTACCCTAGAGTGATGTTTGAGGCAGCTAAGGGCAACTCAGTTTACACCAAAGGAGATGTTTGTCTTTGCATAAGGTGGAGTAGATGAAGAGAGAAGGACCTCCTCAGGTTTTCTAGACTATCCATTGCCTGCTTTGACCTATGCTAACTTTCCTTCACCCTGGACTGGTATTTTTAGGACTGCTGATGCCCCTTCCTTTCATCTCACATTTCCTCTCCTGACCCTCCTTGGAAGAGGAGGAAGGAGGCATTTTGACACACACACCCCTTTTGTGAGCAGTAAGGGTGTAGCTCTAGCCACTTTAGTTGGATAGACTAAGATTCCTATTGCCTTTCTTATTTCAACACAGTTCTCTAATAAACAGCACCATTCTTCTTTTCTTGTAACAAGAGTTGTGTGAATGTAATTTCCCTCCACGGGGGATATATGCTCTACTACTATTGTTCAGTGTTTGAATCTGTACATTAACATCTCTGCTGCTTTCTCTGCTAAAAAGTCAGACTTCTGAATTGCTTTATGGTCATATTTGTGTGCTTTGTGTTCAGAGTTGGGAATTCTTGGCCCACTGAGTTGTTCAGGTGCCATGACATTCTATAAACAACTTCCCCATGTTGAAAATTTGTGGTCGAGTACAGCAATCAAGGACAGTTCCACTGAGTATCAAAGGACTAAAGAATTAGCTTCCAATCATTTACCAATAGTAGCTGCTGACTTTGTCAACTAATCTAATCTGTGGAACCCCTTGCCACAGGATGTGGTGATGGCATCATCATCATCATCACCACCATCATCTAATTTATTGTCATTGAACATATATGCACCGTATAAACATACAACAAAATTCACAAATAACATTAAGGGATCAGACCGAAATGCACACACTCATAACAATCCTAAAACCCAGAACCCCACCTAAGAGCACACAGTATCCACACAACATATGACACAACAGACCAAGTAATAGTATTACAGTCCAACAACTCACTGCTGGTGATTCTTAAATTCCTTGTTAAGTTCAATTATGGCTCTAGGATAAAAAACTGTTCAAAAAGCGTGTTGTCCAAGTTTTAATTGCTCTGTATCTTCTGCCCTTTAAAAAGGGATTGGACAGATTTCTGGAGGAAAAAGTCCACCAGAGGTTACAAGCCATGATGGGGATGTATGATCTCCAGGCTTCAAAGGGAGGTACCTCCAAATACCAACTGCAGGGGGCGGTATCAGGAGACAGGTATCTCATTGTCACGTGTGCTCCCAGAGGCATCTGGTGGGGCCACCGTGAGATACAGGGCGCTGGACTAGATGGGCCCTTGGCCTGATCCAGCAGGGCTCTTCTTATGTTCTTGTGAGTGACCATGCACATGCAGAACACTGGGACATAAACATATAATGCTTTCACTTTGCATTTTGACCACAATACAGATTTCAGGGAAAGGAAGCCTTAAAGGGAATGTGAAATATCTGGGCATTTTAGATGAAGGTTACCAGAATCTCACATTTCCAAATGTCAAGGCTCTCACAGCTGGCATTCAATTCAATAGGAGTGAAGCATGCTTAGCTTTGGCTGTATCGCACTGTCATTGGGCCAGTTCAGCTGGCGAGAGAACGTATCCAAAGCAGAGCTGGGAAAATTTACTTTCTTGCCCTGCTGAATGCATAACACCCATGCTAGAAGGGGGTTTCTGGGAGTTTCACCACAAAAGTGGTGTTTCCAAATTCCACTCTTAATGGCTTCCTTGCTAGTATAACAAGCCTCAGATGGGGAGAATAAGCTGGCTGCGTAGTGACATGCAACATTCTGCTAATAAAGGCTATTTTTTCCCCTGTGGCACAGTTGTTCCATCTGCCCCGGGACGCATAGTGGCGACAAGAAACACAAGGACCTCTGTTATCGTTCAGTGGGACAAACCAAAGCATGAGGAAGACCTATTTGGCTATTACATTGATTGCTCTGTGGTGGGATCAAATCACTGGGAAGCTTGCAACCACAAGCCTGTCAAGTATAACAGGTAAAAGGAAAGTGAGTTTATTACTGGTTACGTAGAAAAGAGCAGGCCTCCTGCCCTTTGCTGATATGGCTTGAGAAAGCAAGAAGAATTTTCGGAAGGCATTGGCTGGATTCAGAGCATCAAATATTTTTAGACTATGTCCCAGGGCAGGAAGTTCTTCATCAACTTTTTGTACCTTTCTCATAGGGAAACACTGCAGCTCACTGATCACATACTGCAAGCCTATGTTCTGATCAAAGTTTCTGCCTTAGGCCTTCAGGGGTCTTTGCCAGTCAGAATACATAGTACCTGATTATACTGATGGTATTAATGGGGGGTGGGGGTGGAGATCCACTCTGAAGCCCATCCATAGGCATCTCACCCCCTCTGTTACACCCATTTACACATTCTCCATGTTGCTTTCCTGTATGGACTGCTGTTGCCTCTTGCATCGCCCTGAAGCTGGAAAAGAAACCATTGCCCATCACTGGAGTTGCACACCTCTACTCTTTCACTCTCTCCTCCTTGGCCTCCCCATGCCACCTGCCAAACATTGTAAGTCAAGCTGTGCAACCTCACACAAGTTTCTGAGTATCTCAAAAGGCTTTCTGCATTTCCCTTAAGTGCTGGATCTATCCTGTGAAAGAAAGGGAGCTGCAGTCTACCTTGATACTTGCCATCATGCCAGCAACTTGGTAGGTTGAACAACAGTGGCAAGCTGACTGTGTCAAGAGCTTCCCTTCCCACGCCTGGTTCTTGTGGAGCTAGTTGCTGCAACCGAGAAGACTGGGTGACTCATTTGTGCCTCCTCCTGGCAGTGAGGAGGGGAGTGGGGGGAGTGGGAGTGATCTTGGACAAGAGAAACTTTACAACTGCATTGCAGGCGAGGACTATCCTCTACATCAGATGGCTCATTATCTTATTCTATGTTCCATATGTCAAATAGCATACAGTGGCACACCATTTAGGAGCATCAAGTAGCTTCAGGATATAGGTGTAAACATTCCACCTGCTATAAGAAACTGAATCATCCCCCAGGCCTGAGCATTTTGTCACACTTTTGTTGTTGTTTATTTTGCAGTTACGAAGTAAAAGATTAATCTATACAAAAAAGCAAGTCCTGAGACAGCATCACCATAAGTTGGACACCATACGAGTCTTGAATGGGATCCCTCCTGTGCATTCCCTATGCCTTCACTAATATGGCAGGAATTAGCATGGGCTATTTAGTTTCCTTGTATTGTAGCAATCCCTGATCCTTCTTGTATTCCACCCAGTGCTCTGTCCCCCCCCCCATCTTATGCTCATGTGGAATATACCTTAGATGCAGGTACAGAGCTGAGGTTCTAATTCTATGATATGGTGCAAGCACCTATGATAGCGTTAAAGTGAAATGACAGCACCTTCCATTCCTATTTTTTTTTCAGGTTTACCGTTCACGGTTTGACAACAGGAGAGAAGTACGTCTTCCGCGTGAAAGCTGCAAATGCAGTAGGGTTGAGCGAAAATTCTCAGGAGTCTGAGGCTATAACAGTGCAGGCAGCTCTCAGTAAGTGAGGTTTTGTAATCCTTGCAGTATGTGCGTGTTTAGTAGCTCTTCTGCATGTTGTCTGATCCACGTGGCTAGCTGTTGCTAAACGATGATTGTGCCTTATTGCAATGTGGCCTGCTGAAATAATTTATTAATTATCATTTCTCCTAGTATTTGTATGTTTGTTGTCACAAGCTTTCCAAGTGGGTACAAAAACATTTAAGAACTCTTTAAAAACAATAAATGCTTATACAAAACATTCCAGCAACAAGTTCAAGAAAGAGAGTACTGACAAGGTGGGAGCTTTTGAGGAATGCAAACAAAAAGACCAATATGTTTCCAGTGGGTGTTTAAAGGAGACCCCTGTTTCTGGTTCTCTAACTGCTAGAGAAGAATGTTCCAGAAGGTGGAGACTACCTACTGCATATAGCAATGTGTCTCACATGGAAAACTCTCAGTATCCTGTAGATTTCCCCACCCCCACACCATTATCAGTGCTGAAGGCATCTATGTTCTGTTTGCACGGGAACATTTCATCCTCTCAGAAAGTTTCCACATGAGAAACAATGTTTGTTTGGACGTTGCCTTTATATTTCACCTTTCCTTCAATGAGCTCAAGGTGGCAAAAATTCTTGCCCGCTTAATTCTCAAAACAAGCTTGTGAGATAGGTCAAGCTGAGAGAGGTTGACAGGCTCAGAGTCACCCAGTTAATTTCATGGCTCAGTGGGGATTTATATCCAGGTCACCAAAGTCCTGCTCTAACTGCTAGTTTGATCCATTACATCAAGGTGGAGGCAATCACTATGAAAAAGTGTCTTTCCACACAAATCACGGGGTTTCGCTTCTTCAAGGGCTTGAAGAAGAGTGTTTTGTAGAAGAAATTCTCCTTAGTAATCTCATCTTTTGGCTCTTGTGGTCTTAATCACAGAGTGTGAAAGGGTATTGTTGAAGGAAGATTGGAATTCATGGCTTTGCTGGGCTTTTCTGAATCTTGAATCCATTTAGATTTGAAAACTGCAGTCTTTACCAGTTGTTAGGGATTACACCCCATTGAAAACAAAGGAATAAATATGCCATATAGATTTCTCATTGAATCACTAGTAGTCCACTGTGCCACCAAACCATAGAAGAGAAGCTGCTTCATATTTTTTGTTATTTATGTGAGCTGGTTTCAAAACCCAATTGAGGAAAATCTGCATATGTCAGGCAAACACACAAGTGGCTATCCTGTTCCTTAGGTTTCCAGTTGTGCACTTAACTACTGTATATAAGCATCCATGTGATTACTTGCACAAACTAGGGAAGGTCAGGCGTGTGACCTGGTGTGGTTGCCCTTCCATGATCACGTAGAGTAATAGAAGCCTGACCACCATATTTGGACATTGTTCTAATAACTCCATATGTTGAACCTCTTCAAGCCTGCCCATCTTATCCTTATGGTCTCACTCTCCTCAACTGTGATGGCCACTCAATGACCATTGGCTGGAAACTTCCAAGATTCAGTGGCGGATCAAATATTCTGGGTTATTACATAGACAAACGAGAGGTACACCACCACAACTGGCATGAAGTCAACTCTTCCCTCGTTAAAGAGAGGATTTATACGGTCAGTATTGTTTCACACTTTTGGTATTCAGATTGAATGTTGCGTCATTTTTACAGTTGTATTTTGACAGTGAGTTACCTGTGCAGATCAGGTACCAAAGCACTAGCTGAAAGGAAAGGAAGACAGAGTTTGACGTGTCCCCCCACACATGCCGCTACATACACACAGAGGCAATCCCCATATGTGATCAGTGGAACCTCCCACACATGCCGCTACATACAGTACACACAGAGGCAATCCCCATATGTGATCAGTGGAACCCTTTCTTGTCCCTCCTCTGTTCCTACTGGCCTGTGGACAAGTAGAAGCAAAGGACCGCCATCTAGATCCATGCCTTTCTGTGGGAAGCAAGTTCATATTTTCTGAGGGCAGGCAGATAATTCATGTTCTGATCTCAGAGGATGGATTGCTTTCAGAGCACTTGAAGTGAACAGACAGAATAAGCAGATACGGCAAAGCCCCCACGACAGAGCGTAAGGCACAGCCCGAGCTGCCACTTCCATCATATGATATGCTTTTAGACAGAATAAGCAGATACGGCAAAGATCTGTGGTATTTTCAAAAGACCTGTGGTATTTTCAAAGCTTGGACTATTACTTTTAAAAAGTAACTGGTTATAATTATATTGCCCAACACTCCCAAAGCAGTTCGTTAGCATTATAATTACTATTTAAGAAGCCATCTGTTTTTTTTTTCCATTTCCCATAAGGAACTTGCAATAGTTATGTTTTAATTACTTTGAAAACCTTGAGTGCTCTAGGAACACTTTGGTCTGGGGCACAAAACACATTCTGCTTCTATCCACCTTGTTATTGCTTCAGCCCCCATGACAGAGCGTAAGGCACAACCCAAGCTGCCACTTCCATCATATGATATGCTTTCTCCAACATATAGTGAGGCCATATTCTTGTAACTATAAAAGGAATTATAAGTTAACCTTGAAAAAAAATGAAATCACCCCTTGTTCAGTTACAATTGCAGCGTAAAGTACTTTAGATATTGTAGAAAGGAATGAATGACAAGTAACTAGTTCTTTGTAATTAGTTATTTCCGATCTGTGGAATTCTGGAGATGAGTCAGTTTCTCATAAGATTAACATTTTCTAGACAAGAATTTATTTCATTTGTAGATGATTGCCTATGAGAGGTAATGACGCCAAAAGCTGATTATTAAGGTACCGCAGGTCACGTTTTCATTTTAAAGCTGCTGTCATTGAATTTATGCACATTTCCATTGCAAGACTTCTGGAATTAGACTTCTTGCTTTCTGTCTACATGCATAAGCAAGTTGAAGTACTGTACCAGAGGTTAACTTTGAATAATGTTTCATTCCTGTTGAGAGAATGACATGAATATTATGTTATGTTGAACTTGTTTCTATTATCAACTGTTCTACAAAGGTAGAGGATTTGACAGAAAATGCATACTACGAATTCAAAATTGCTGCTGCTAATATAGCTGGCATAGGTCAGTCATCTGACCCCAGTGACCCTTTCAAATGTGAGGCATGGACAATGCCAGAACCTGGTGAGTAATTGGTTTGGTTCTTCATACCTTGTTTACATTGAATTATAGTTTTAAATCTAATATCTGGTGACAGCAGTTGTTATTTTATATACTTGATTATCAACCAGAGTTTTTTCAATCCTCCTGGAAGAGTTCCTACAGTCTGCTGGTGTGGACTAGAATTGGTCAACACTCCCCATTGTCCTCCATCAACAGTAGACTGCATAACAAATACCAGAGTAGTCTTTCATGGGTGTACAGTGGTAGCTCGCTTAATGATTACCTTGTTAAATGATGAATCTGCTTGACGATGAGGTTTTTGCGATCGCAAAACGATGTTTTAATAGGCAAAATTTGCTTCCTGAAGATCAGTTCCCTGCTTCAGGAACCGATTCTTCGCATTACGACGATCAAAACAGCTGATTATCGGGTTTCAAAATGGTCGCCCACTGTGTAAAATCGCTCCCCGCTGTGCTTTAGGATGGATTTTTCACTGCACAGGCATTGGAAAATGGCTGCCCTATGGAGGATCTTCACTGGACACTGAGGTATTTAGCCCATTGGAACGCATTGAGCGGTTTTCAATGCATTTCAATGGGCTTTTTTATTTTGCTTGATGAGGATTTTGCTCTACAGCGATTTTGCTGGAACGGATTATCCTCGTCAAGCGAGGCACCACTGTATCTGGAATAGGGAGAATTTGGTTGATATACAGTGTTGACTTGTCCGGTACTGTTTGAAGAAAGCAGGTTGAATTATGTCAGAAGACCAGCACAATCTTCCTCTGGTTCTTCCTAGATGGGAGTGTTTTAGTACAAAGGTATAAATACTAATGTGGTGAATTCTATTGTATGGAAATCACCAATGTCATAAAGTGCAAAGCCAGTCTTTTAGCACAGAAGGGATTAAATAAGACATCTATTTCTAATTAGGTGAATTCTCCTCTACGGCAACCTTCTGCTTCTTGGTCTTCTTCTCTCCCTCTGACTTTTTTCCCCTGAGACATCTGGGTGGGTGGGCTGTGTTAGCATGTAAAGTTCTATATAACAGAAAACAGATTGATATTAAGCCCCTGAAAGACAAATCAGAAGACACTTGCTGTTTTGGGAAACTTTGACAAAGACTTCTAGTTTCCATTTCATGCATGCTATTCATGTGGAAACAGTAAAATCAATATAACTGTTAATGAAATCATTTGTATTCAGTGGCAACGTTAATTCCAGACTCAGTGGAGCAGCTTGGTGGAGCAGAATGAAAATGAACTAAAATGGGTTTCAAAGAAAGGATCTGTGCGTCACACACACATGCACACAAACACACACAAGAGGCTTTAAACTCATTGATTTCCACACTAAAATGCCTCTTACATAGTGCTGAGACTACTGGGTAACATCTGATGCTCTTGAGAATTCATATATGGCTATTGCACAAAGAAAACAGGAGATCAAAGGTGAATGGGGAGCATAACCCAATGTGCATATGACTCGTGTGGTAAAGCGGTTGTCTTCACTGCACAACCATACAGTGAGGAAACCTGTAATACTCCCCTCCTTTTCTAGATTTTGCACTGGATGCAAATGTGTGGCAGAACTCTCTTCAGCACTTTGCCACATGGAGTGAGAATTCTGTTTTGCTCATTTTATGAGGAAAAATGTTTCCAGACTAAAACATGTCTCCATGCATTGAACAGAAAGAACTTGAGATTTTAAAAACGTGGATGTAGGAAAAAGCAAAACTGACAAATCTATGAATCAAGGCTGAGAGCTTTGAGTTCTTAACTCTTTAGGGTCTAGCTTTGCATCCTTGTCCATTTGTCCATGTTTGTAACACTGAATTAAGGTTGCTACCAATTTTTTCCTGACAGGTGCTGTATCTTTTAACAGCCGTATGGCAGGCAAGTGTAATACAATCATCTTCATGACGAATACGGCTGTCCTAATTTAATTTGGCCAGTGCAGAGGGGCCAGATCTAGTTCCTTTGGTTTTCAGAAGAACTTTCCAAAATGTATGAAGTTGTTGGTGGAAAGAACATGAATTTTTTAAAAAAATGTAAAAGAAAGCATAAATAAATAAGGAAATAAGTCATCATTACTATTTTGCAGAAACTTAACAGCACCCTAAATGGATGCAGGAACATGATAGGAAGTTACTGTTTAATTGTTCAGTCACCAGTATTATTCCCTTCTTATAAAACAAAACCATGTCAGGAAGAATTGCAGGCATTAGTATTTTAGTGATGAAAATAATGACAGGAGAAAATCTAGTTCTATAGAAGAGTGTATGAAGAACAAATATAAAGTGGTGCAATTCCTGAATAACTGTTATTGCGAGAGAGAATATTTTGACTTTATTGCTAATATTCACTGCCCATCTACCCACAAGGCCCTCCATATGATCTTACATTTTGTGAGATCAGAGATACATCCCTCGTTATTCTGTGGAAGGCCCCTGTGTACACGGGCAGCAGCCCAGTTACTGGATATTTTGTGGACTACAAGGAAGAAGGAGGGGACGAATGGATTACATTCAACGAGAAACCAACATCTCACCGTTACTTAAAGGTAGAAGCTTGCCTCGCCCTGGTGCCTTTATTTTTGCATTTGTACTGTACTGTGAAATTTGGCCAGTGCTAACTAACTTTTCTCTGACAGAACTGATTCCCTTAACATAGGGATGGGCTAAGTATGGCTGTTGCTGTTTTACAGCCCGCCGTTTCTTCAGAATTTCCCCCAGGGGGAAAAAAAAGTGAACCGGCAGTCCAGCTGCAGTGATTCACCTTCAAATGGGTCATGAGCCTCCGTGCAATGCTTCATGCAACAAAACTACCAATTTGTCACAACTGCAAGTGGACTTGTGGCTGTATCTATAACCCCTTCATTGTTTTGGCAATCTGTGTTGCCCTCGAAGGATCCCAGGGTAGAAAACTGACTCCTGGGTTCACTGAATTTGCTAATCCTTTCCTTAGTGGACCCAAGAAGAGATTCCTCTTCATGCCTTCAAAATCAGCTCTGGCAGGGTTGGAAACTGTTCACAGGATATTTGCAAGCCGTGTAGAGGAAGCTGTGGGAGGGGAATGAAAGCAAGAGGAATGTGTCCCATAGCAGATGTCCACTAGTGTCATGTTGGGTTTAACCTGGTATTTGTAAAGTTTCCTATGTGTCTCCTTTAAGATCACAGAACTACATGAGGGCCAATGTTATGTGTTTCGTGTTCGCCCAGTGAACAATGCCGGGATAGGCAAGCCATCAGATGTTTCTGAAGCTGTGCTGGTTCAAGTTAAACCAGGTATGAATACAGTAGAACCCCAACTTAGGACAGCTTGCTTTACATTCCCCTTTTTGCAATGAATCGTTCTAATTTGCCCTTTGTTCTTACACTGTTCTCTAATGCCTGATTTTACAATTTCAATGATTGGTTGCGTGCACTGATGTCATTAAGTACCATAGCAGAGGAGAAAGTGGAGGTATGAGTGAAGGGACAGAAAAAAAGAGTGAGAGAGAAGGGCCAAGCAAGGCAAAACAGGATAGAAGGGAGAAGACAGCTGAGAGAGACAGAAGATGCCCACCTCCAATGATACCAGTGAGAAGGTGGTGCTTGATGTACAACAGCTGGCTTTATGACCATCACTGAAGAATGGATTTGGTTGTAGTCTTGAGGATCTGCTGTGTTTAATGTTGATCCCTTCTAAAATAAAATAAAAAGCAATAAAGCAGATGTATAAGAATGATTCCCATATTTATTTGTTTTTGTTTTGGATTCGTATTCTGCGTTTTGTCCAGAAGATTCAAGGTCCCCTGTTCTCATTAAAAAAACCTCATGAAGTATATTATGTTGAAAGTCACCCAGTGAGCACCTGGAAAGAGGAAAGATTTGACCTACAGAGGTTCTGAAGACTTATGAAACAACTAGTCGTCTATCTGAGACACTTGTGTGTCCCTGAAAACAGAGGGTACAGGGGGCAGAAGATTCCTAACATTACAGTTGTACCAATATTACCTTGTTACAATCGTTTGCTTCTAATTTAACTGCCATAGCTCCATCTTGTAGACTCCTGGCACCAGTAGTTTGGTAAGGGACTTCAGATTCTCTGCCGTAGTTCAAAGGAGGACGCCAGAACTCTCTGAACAAGATGTCTGGATACCCCACCAAACTACAAATCCCATGGCAGTTCACGTGGAATCAAGGTGCTACCACATGTAGTTCAGAGCTATCCTCCAAAAGAGTTACCCAACGATTTGTATGCCGCCTGGATGAGGTATAGATATGTGGCATATAATGTTGATTAGTGCTGCCATGACTTTTGTAGTGCAATCACTTGTTTTGCTGTGGACAATTGGCTAGAAAGAAGTGAAGATGACGATTTCAAACTTCTGCCATCCTTTCCTTGGCTAGGAGCAATGTTAGTCATTTTTTTTCTGGCCAATGAAGAAACAGCAGCTAGGACTGTAGCTGAGCCGAATATATGCCTACGCACTTTCCAGTTAAAGGACATCTGAAGCAGTCCCGTCATGTTCTCTTTCATAGCTCAGAGGTCAGCCAACACCAGATAGAATTGCAATGGACCCTCCCCTTTTGCTCTGCCTAATGCATTTTGTGCCCATGGCTTTCCCTCCCTCCCCCCTTCTTGTTTTGCATTTTTATTCATGCTTCCCCAAAAGGCCTGAGGGCACATTTTCTTTCGTTCAGCGTAGTTTTGGCACAATACACCAGTACAGGTGGAATACATAAAAATGTCGCCTGTGCTTAAAATCAAACAAAATGGAGGGGAAGTGGCAAATAAAAAAAAAAGGATGATGGCTTGTCTTGCTGTGGATCAAGATGAAGTTGAAGGTAGGCTTGACCCACACAAATACACGTACACAGGTCTGCGTGGCCTAAACCCTTTTGCTAGTCCAACTAGAGTCAATAGTTGAATGGGGAGTCAAAGCTTAGGTAAATCGCACTGATTCAATGGATCTACTCCATGAGAATTTTGTTTTTCAGGCTTAGGGAGAGCTAACAAGTTTAAGTTCACTTAAATATGTATGTAGGCTTTGCTACTATATTTTATTTATTCATTCATTATATTTGTATTCTGCCATTCAGGTAAAAATTGCACTCAAGGCAGCTTATAATAGTAACATCTGTGTAAGAACAGAAGTACATTAACCAGGTTTGGAACACAATTATAACATACCGTATTAATAAATAGAGAGAATGACGCTGAATGAGCTAAAACTCCTGCAGCTGAAATACTAAAAGTTCAAGTAAACAGAAATGTCTTTTCTTGCCAGGAGAAGAACAACCCAGAGGGATAAAACCCAACCTTTCTTGGCAGGGCGTTAGATAACCTGAGAGTAGCTGCTGAGACAGCTCTCTCTTCCTTCCTCTGTGATCTAAGACCTGGTGCTAAAGGGTCCACTAAAACCATTCTTTCTTTTGGGCTGAGCTGATGGAGCCCAACACAAGTCCCTGCTGGAATAGGCTCTGTGAGGATGAAGAATCCCAAACTTACATGCACAATTACATTACTCTTTTATTCCTCTGCATCCTTTCCTATATGTGTGGCATTCAGATACTAGAAGGCATCATAATATCTGCAATAGTGCCACCCGCCCCCTTTATTTTCTTGCAGGATCTAAAAATAAAATGGTCCTCCCTCTCCATTTGTAAGCGGTGTGTCTTCCTTCTGGCTTCAGCTGTAAACAGAGTTAATTAAAGGAACAATCCAGTCTTTAAGCAAATTCTTTTAATTGAATCATACATGAGGAGAACTGACACTTTTCCTTTATAACTATAATTCTAATTACAAACATGTCTTGCAGGCACCAAAGAAATCACTTCGGGTGTGGATGAAGAAGGCAATATTTACCTTGCCTTCGACTGCAAAGAAATTTCAGATGCTTCTCAATTTTCTTGGAGTAAATTCTACGAAGAAATAGATGATCATGAAAGGTTTCAGGTTGAAACAGTTGGAGAGCAGTAAGTGCTGAAGTCCCCCTATAGATGTCTTTCAGTGTTGGGGTACTCTCAACAGACCTTTAATTATACATTTTTTAAAAACTTCTTTTTAGTTCTAAGCTGTATTTCAAAAAACCGGACAAAGAAGATCTGGGTACTTACTCTGTGGCTGTTAGTGATACGGAGGGAGTCTCCTCCAGTTTTATTATGGATGAGGAAGGTAAGACAAAATCTTAGTGTCTTGTAAAGCAATTTCTTTAAAAGTAAAGTTAAAAAAAGAGGTAACTCTCTGAATACCCAGACCAGATGAATGTATTCCATATTTCTTTTTTTTTCTGTGCCAAAGAGGACTCGAAGCTCTGTGGAAAGTACTTTGAGAAAGAAAGAGTTGCCATTTTTGTAACTTGTAGGATTTGGAATTTTTTCCTCTCCATCCCCCACTTTTTTCTTCTTCTGTTGTCAAGTAATAAACATATTTGGCAGATATTAGCCCCATATTGTATTGATATGGGGTAAATATAATTTTAATCCATCTAGAGGGATCCCACTGAAATCAATAGACCACACATTAGTGTTAACTGACAGGTGAAATTTCTATGAATCTATGCTAGTTAGGGCTAAAATACACCCTAGTTTTGTAGCTGTTCATCCCTGGCGAGGATCCAGTTGGGTACCAATGGTGAAAGAAGATCTAAGAGGTACCAATTCCTCTCCCCAGATACATCCCACACATCTTTAGTATATACTCCCATGGGTTGGTAAGCCCTCCAGAGCAGAGGAAGAAGTGTGGAGAGTGAGGAGAAGGACAATATTTGTTGAGGACACACAAGGTCTGCATGAAAGGATAATTGCTTTTGCATGCAACTGATGAAGCAGCTTCTTTTGTCAGCAGTATATCACTCTGAATTGTGCTCACTGTTGTTACTGCCATAATTATGTCTACAAGACTGTAAGATGGGGCAGCTTGGGTACTTAACAGGAGGACGTATCTCACCCCAACATTTTGTAGCAAAGTTGCCACTTATTCCATTCAACAGGTCCCTAAAGGCAGTGGTTCCCAGCCTTGGGTCCCCAGATTTCTTGGACTGCAACTTCCAGAAAGCCTGGCCACCATAACTAGTGGTGAAGGGTCCTGGGAGGTCTAGTCCAAGAACATCTGGAGACCCAATGTTGGGAATGTCTTCTCTAAAGTATCTAAAGTCTTTACAGATCTTATTTGATTTTCCTCCCACACTGTTGGAGCTGGTCATTTCCACAGACTAGTAAATGTTTAAAATGAATAGATCATACATGCACAAAATACATTTAGAAGTGAAATAGAAATAGCTGTTGGCTTCTTGAACATCTCGCTTGCTAATTTTCTTTTCTCTTTGTTACTTGCAAATATGCACACCATGCAATTAGCTCCATTTTACGAGCCCTTATTAGCAATTCTAATACGTTAAGCAGGGCTAATCTCTGTATTCAGCTATGTAGAACCTAGCCTTCTGCACAACTTCTATGAGGATTTGCTGACATTTACAGTAGATCTTGGTAAACATTTCCTGTTCACTAGCTTTCATTCTCTTTTCCAAATGCTGGAAAGAGACCCTTTAAAATGATACACCACGGGAGAGGATCAACAGATAAGATGTTGTTACTAGAAGCGTATCATTCATTGTTTTTGGACACTAAATCCCAGAATTCTCAAGAGTTTCCCAGGGCAGAATTCTGGGATTTCCACCCTACAAACACATACCTGTGGGCACCTTCATATCCATCCCCTGGATGAGGCTAAGGTCTTCTTCTTGGGGTATTGTTGCTGCTGTTCTTTATGCTCTATAGAGCAGTGGTCCCCAACCTTGGGCCTCCAGATGTTCTTGAACTTCAACTCCCAGAATTCCTGGCCAGCAGAGGTGGTGGTGAAGGCTTCTGGGAGTGGTAGTCCAAGAACATCTGAAGGCCCAAGGTTGGGGAGCACTGCTCTAGAGGATACCTCTTGAAGGCACACACACCCTGAAACACTGGGACAGCTTCCCTTCGGATACCTCTTGAAGGCACACAGACCCTGAAACACTGGGACAGCTTCCCTTCAGGAAGCATTGCAGCTGGAAATGGAAGCCTGGAAGAAGGTCTTGAAGGAGGGTCTTGCTGGCTTGACCAGGTGACTGAAATGAAGGTATCCACAGGTACATGTTTGTGGACTGGAACTGCTAAAATTCTGGCTGGGGAAATTCCTGGAGAATCTTGGGTTTCAGAGTCCAAAAAGGAACAAACGAAATACCCCTAGATGATGCTGTGCCTTACAAAATGAGGACATCACATTTTAGTGTGCCTCATCATGAACTCATGGAGCATTTCAAAGTTCAGAATCCAAAAAAGGAACAAATGAAATAACCCTAGATGATGCTGTGCTTTACTAAATGAGGGCATCACATTTTAGTGTACCTCATCATGAACTCATGGAGCATTTCAAAACTTTCAGGGTACATTTGAAGAGAATGATAAACTGTGGTTTGTCATAATGAGAATGAGTTTAGTTTCTCCAGAGCTACTACAGTTCTCTCTGCTCTCTCTGCTGCTGGTGCATGCGGAAAGAGGAGGTTGGAAGTTTTTCCTTTGGCTTAAAAATGATGCAGTATGCTGGCGCATGCGGAAAGAGGAGGTTGGACGTTTTTCCTTTGGCTTAAAAATGATGCAGTTGAGCATTATGTCTGGACCCTAAGCCATAGTTAATCTTCTTTATGAAAGGTGGCTTTTGATAAAACTAGCAGAATTCTTTGGAAGCACTTATGTGCAGCTGCAACCCAGTATGGCTGGTTAAAATCCAGTGTCATACAGTTGGGGCAGAATTCCATCATCTTTAGGATCAAAAACAGGTTTAATTTTTACTACTCACAAATAATTCACACAGGTAGAAGAGCTTGTGGGTCTAACTTCTGGCTGGGCCTCTTTGCTGAAGGGACAACATCCAGGAGATCACATGTGTAGCTCCTTGCTGGATTCGAAAGTGGCAAAGCCAGAGAAAGGAAAAAGTTAAAGGAGTGTGGAGGAGCCTTATAAGGCCACTGAGTGCCTGAACTAGGACAGACACCCTCCCCTCATTAGCTATCTAGTTTAACCTCTCATTCCCTGGCACTATGCGATGCAAAGTTACAGTACACCCAACAAACCTTGTAGCTGGTTTAAGCAGGGCAGTTTTGTAAACAAAGTCTGATGGTGCTTTGTTTCAATCAAATCCCATTTGACATTTATCTCAGTCTGTCAAGTTCAGAGGATACGAAAAGTTCCAGTTAATGGAGAGTAAGTGAACACTTCTAAAATGTTCCCTGTGCCTTGACCAGAAGAGAAAGAAGCAGGAAAGGTGCAAGTCTTTCATTTATTGGGACATTTTAATAGAAACCAGGACCCCTCCAGTCACCACTTCCCTGCAGCCCTGCTTGTGGCTTGGCAAGACCAGGGGAAAATGTGCCCTGCCTTGCTTCCACATCAGAAAAGCTTGGTGCCTTTGTTGATCATTTTGGGGATCACGAGCTGGCCAACTGCTTGAGAGCTAGCTGGAGAAATTCAGCCAACCAGGTGAGGGGAATAGCTCAACCAGTCAGGAGTAGGCTGTGAAGCTGGGGTGCTTACTTGGTGGACTGGAAGAACACAGTCTTCAATCTGGTCTACTAGGGAGGTGTTTTAGGAGCTCCCTGACTCCTCTCTTGCCAGTCTTCCTTGAGATGTGTGCATAGGAGTGGGTCCCCAGTGAGGGAGGCAGGCATTCGACTTTATCCCAGGCTTGGGATCCCCCTCCCATGGGGATCAGGAAATGAGGAGGACTGACAGAGGTGTGCCTGGCTCAAGAGGGCTGCTACAGCTCCTCCCGCCCTCAATGTATACTGAAGGGGTTCTTCATGGTCCTGTGCTCAAGGGTATAACAATCTCTGGTCCCAATCCCTGCTTACCCACCAAGGAGGGGGGGTAAAGGTGTCCATTGGATGGCAGGCAAGTCACTCAACACAGGGAACCTCTTCTCATGCTGTCCCTCTGCTGCTACTCACTGAAGCTGTAGTCTTTCATTTACCCACCATTTTTCCTTCAAGAAAGTCCTTAAATATAAACAACGGTGTGTTTATTGGTAGGCGGGAGGTGGAGGTCAGGTCTTCTTACCCAGGTCCACAATCTCTCGTTCCCTGTCTTCTTCCATTTTCAAAACCTGAATTTTCTCAAGTGTTTCCTCATGGAATGGAAGATTACTAGTGCTTCATGGACTCAGACACTGTTCTTAAACTATATTCTGTCAGAATAAATTAAAACATGAAAACTGTTCTTCGTTTCAGAGCTTGAACGTCTGATGACACTAAGTCATGAAATCAGGAATCCAAGTAAGTGGGACATCTGCATCTAATATCCAGCCCTGGAAGGAATATATTTATACATCACTGATTGGAGTAAAATAATGAAAACTTTTTTTAAAAAAAGAGCAGCTTGCTTATCCTTCTATTAATTAAATGCAAATATTAGTTTCTGATTAAGAAGGATCCTCTTCACCACTGCAAATTTATTTGAATGAATGGATTCCGCTTGGGTATGTCTAATATTTACCAGATTATATATTTAAAAGCCCTAAATGGTGCAATAAATATGCACTTGAGCTTGTGCTCTAACTCATGCAAAACCAGTTTTAATATGCATCTGTGCAAATACAGTTGAGGGTTTCCATTTAGCTTTCATAACATTTCACTTGTTTGTTGCTTAAGATGCTCAGAAGCTTTAAACCACAGGACTTATCTTTTGCTGAATTATTCCAAAAGGCCTTCACATGTTTGCTCTATGCTGTTCTCTTTTCCTCCAGCAATCCCTCTGAAGTCTGAGTTAGCCTATGAGGTTTTGGACAGAGGGCAAGTTCGTTTCTGGCTTCAGGCAGAGAGCCTTTCACCTGATGCCAGCTATAGATTTGTGATCAATGACACTGAAGTTGCCGACAGTGATGTAAGTGAAAACATCGGAAAATATAGTGCCAGGTTTTGTCAGTCATCCTTTGAAGGAGAAGTGTTCCAGCCCAGTGGGGAAGGAATACTTTTTTTAAAAAAAGCCATCACTCTGTTTAAATTAATATAGAAGTGCAGATAGGGAGCGGAACCTTACAAAATTGTTCACATGACCAGCGCCCACTCCTTAACATTTGCAAGAGTTCAGTGAACATGAATAAAGGCAGCGTTTAATAGATTATTAGAAAATATTAATGGGTGCTCAATTAGAGATTTATGAGCTCTGTCAGACCTGTGATAGGATTTCGTCTAGCCTCTGCCACCTGTCACCAGCATCAAGGTCAGGTTTAGGTTCAAAACAGGTCCTTGATGAAGTGTCCTGTGGTGGGCTCTTCTGTTCAAGTGCTGCCCCCTGGTGGCTCATTTTGTGATGGCAGGCAGTAAAGTGGTTTCATTGACTTCTCGCCTATGCCCCAAATGACACTAGCTCAGGGAAATCATGGAACATCAACATGATGGCTCACATGGCAGAGTGCTGTGAAGAAGGAGCCATAAGAGTGGATCCAGGGAGGTGTCAGCTTAGTGGTAACCCTTCCTGAAGACTGAGGATCCAGCCACTGGCTGAGAGTGGCCTGTGCTAAGCTAAACTTCCTCAGTAGAACCGGATCATGGGAGAGATGGGCATGATAGTGGAAGAGCACCCATTCTTTTTCTGCCTTCAAGCTATCGAATTTCTCCTCTTTACTGTCAGCCTCTGACTTATGATCTGTGGTGCATAGCTTGAAGACCTGATGGATTAATGGAAGAAGGAAGGAGATAGACAAATTAGCCTCCCAAAGCAACAGAGCCCAGGTGTTACCCACTTCGTTTAGTATGCTTCTAAAATTAATTGTGTATATATTATCCAGCCGTAGTGTTAAAATGCTAGCCACTAATTTGCTGGAGAGCGAGCAAGCTCCTTTTCGGCTTTGATGTATCCGCCATCCCACTGCACTAAGGATGCAATGCATATTCATGTATTTTCCCATCCTCAGTGAAAAAAGCGTATTGAGACACATTGAGACACTCTGTCAAAAACATTGGCAACCACCATAATAATTCTTTCTTGTTTGTACTCAAGAACAAAAAGACCAGCAACTTTTTCACTAGCAGCAGCATTAGGAAAAAAACAAACAAGCGCATTTTGTGCAAAAGTTTGTGATTATGTGTTCTTAAATAAAATATAAGATTTTTGCATGAAGATAGTTTCACAAAGTTTTCACAAAAAAAAATCTGAAATGTGAATAATGCATATAAATCTTGTTTCCTTGATGAAGGAGAGGAAATGGCCTTTGAAAACTTGCCATTCTTACCTGAGAGAATAAAAATAAGTAACCATCTACATCCCTACACTGCAGCCAATTACTGGAGGAACGGAGGCCTCATCTCATTCCTGTAGTAATAGGAGCAGTGAATCAGCAGGTAGCTGGATTTTCCTCCCACATGATTCTCCTTCTGCCTTTTAAGTTGCATGGAACAAGCACTACTAGTTTCACTTTTCACACACCTTTCATTCTCCACCATCTAGAGCAGTGGTTCCTAAACTTGGGTTTCCAGATATTGTTAGACTTCAACACTCAAAAACTCCAGTCAGCATGGTTTGTGGTCAAGGTTTCTGGGAGTTTTAGTCTCCAAAGATCCGACAATTCAGGACTGGGAGGTTCAAAATTCTCTTAATGAGGCTCTCATCAAATTTTGTTGTTGTTGTTTGTTCTGTACAACAACCAATCATGTGCCCACAAGTCAATTCTAACTTATGGCAACCTTTATCTGGGTCTTCTAGGTAGAGAGTACTCCTAAAGGGTCTACCACTTCTTTTCTTCTGGGAGCGCCCTGGGACTGTGCAGCTTGCCCAAGGCCACCCAGGCTGGCTCTCCTTCTGGGATGCACAGTGTGGAACTGAACTCCCAACCTCTGGCTCCACAGCCAGATATGTTGGCTGAATCACTCAGTGAGTTAGGTCTCCAGATGTGGAGCCACAGTTTCAGTGTTCAATTCCCCACTCTGCATCCTAGGAGAACCAGCCTGGGTGGCCTTGGGCAAGCTGCACAGTCCCCGGGTCCCCCCAGAAGAAGGGAAGGGTAAACCAGTACTGAGTACTCTCTATCTAGAAAACTTTGAAAAGGGTTGTCACATCAGATGGCACACAATTATTATTACAGCAACCAAGACAACACTGGGATGAAATCTGTAGCAACAGTCATAGTAATAGCTTCATACTGTTCTCCCCTCACAATACACACAGAGACAGAAGGAGAGTGAGACAGACTGTATCTGTTCAGGGTTATAAAATACACTTCTGTAGTTTTATAATGCTCCTTACATAAAAAGCATTCCTTGGCCTTATATAAAAGAACACTTTTGTGAACCGTTTCCATTTTCAAAAAGTCTCAAGAGCAAAGATAACTTTAGTGGTTTATATATAGACATGTTTAAATAGGAAATGTTCTCCATTGAGAATGTTAGACTTTTTGCTTCATTACTGAAATGGTAATATACAGGGGCTGTCCACCTCCCCCTACATTTCCAAATCTGAATCATCCTACTCTCCCTCCCTAACTTTTGTATTTTTAGCAGTAGTACGAAAGCATTGGCTACCTCCTTTGGAAAAAAAAAAGATCAGTGGCATTATTTCACCTGTTTAATTAGCAAGCTACAGGTGACGTTTGCATTCAGAGATTGATGATATTTTTGTAGAAATTCACATAAAAGCTCTGTATTTATGGCTGCCATAAAACCATTGAACTTCATCTCGCTGCATAATGGCAATAGCTAGAAACCTAATTATATCCTAAAACCTGCCTAGAGACTGGCACTGCAGCCGCTGATCATGTTCAATAGACCATCATACATGCAAAGAATACAGTTTTGTTCTCGACACTGGCCAAAAATAGATAATTTCCGATGAGGCCCTAATTGGAACAACTTCCTTTGGCTTTTCTTTTGAAGGGTATTTTTTTAATGAAGTAGCATAAGAAGAGGAATAAATTCACGAGCTTTTCTCATTGGCAATGTTAATCCGATACCCTGTGGCTAAAAAGCAGGGGAGGATATATTCCACTGAGGTATAAAAAATAGAAATGGGACTTTTGAGGGAACGCAGTTAATTTTTTTGTTTTGAGTATAGATAGCTCTGTCATGCAAATATGAGTACGTAGAGAGAGGAAAGAGAGAAATGTTGGCAGGGCGGGAAATGTATTAGAATCAGCAGGCCCATTGTTTTCAGAAGGTACATTCAAACTCAGGTGTATCTTCAACTGCTTGTGGTTCTATCAGTGTGACAGAGGTGTTGCCTATGGATTGTAGAAGGCCCCTGAGAGGTCATGCCACAAAAATGTTCATACAGAGAAGAAGGTCATTTGAAAGCATCCCAAAAGTGCTACAAAGCGTAGGAACCTAGCATGAAGTGAATCCATCATCCAGAAGGAACACTCTGTTGGAAACACTCTCGTGCGAAAAGGTGCAGCAGTGGGGAAACGTTCTGTGGAGAAGTTCATGTCTTGTGTTTGTGTAGAAATGAAAACTCCTCAGTTTAATTTTGTTTAGAGATTTAGGCTGCAATTCTATGTATACTTATATGGGAATAAGCCGCAGCTGAGCTCAATGGGAGTTACTTCTAAGTGGTCATAAGAATTGTATTATTCCTCAGAGCTGAATGACTGTGTTTCTTCTCGATAGCAGGCAGATTTAAACTTGGGCTATAAAATGATGGAGGAACCGGCAGATTCAAGAGAATACATTTGTATTCTGTGTGTGGTGAGATTAAACCAAAGAAAAGCAACATGCCCACATATCAATTTGCTGCTCTGCAAGTTCCCAAAAGGGACTTTTTAGAATTAGGAAATGGCAGTAACTATCTCAAATGTGCTTTGATCTTCACACCATCTGACAAATGAAAAAGCAGAGTTTAAAATATATTAAGAAGAATGAATATACTGTAATGACAGGTCAAAGATGTCTCTATAAGGGATCCATGGCAGGATGATTCTCTGGGTTCTACTAGAGCAGCATCCTGCCACTGCTTGATTAGGGATGGACCCAGCAAGTTACTGTTATTCATTCTTTTTAAAGTCACTATGGGCTCTCCACAGTCTGAGGGGGCTGTCACTCCCTACCACTTCAGGGAAAAACACCCTCCTAAATCAAATCACAGTATGCTGCTGATAGTTACATTTCAAACTCTGTGGAAAACATTCAGATTTGGGAGAGGATATGGAAGATATAGGTTGCTTTTGTTAAATTGTGCTTGGAGTGGTCCTCTCTTCAACTACTTTATGCTGGCTTCCACCCTCCCTCAAAGCTTCTGTCACAATTCATTGGGACTGTGTGGAAATGAGCAGGACAGCACTACTACTCCCCATCCTTCATCCTGTTACACATTTGGATAATACCGATAATCCCACGGATAAGAAGTATGCAGTTATGCTTCTTGCACCTTTTAATCCTTCAGACTTAATGTTGCGATAATGCCCGCTGATTTTATTTGGTTTCCAGAATTTCAATAACTTGTTCTGTGAGTTGCATAGTACAAGAATTTCTCATTTCTCCTTAACTATCCTCTTTGACCTTTCCAATTTTCAGAGCCATAAAATTAAATGTGACCACTCGAATGGCATTATTGAGATGCTCATGGATCGCTTTACTATTGAAAATGAAGGTACTTACACTGTACAGATCCAAGATGGAAAGGCCAAGAACCAGTCTTCGTTAGTACTTATCGGAGATGGTAAGTAGCCTTATCTGTTGGGTTAAAGTATACCTGTAAATATTTCTTAATACCTGAACAGTCAGCTTATTTTTCCTCAACTCCTCTCCTATTTTTAATCCTTTTTAGCATTTAAGGCTGTATTGGCTGAGGCAGAGTTCCAGAGAAAGGAGTTCCTGAGGAAACAAGGTAATTATGGAACAGTTAAGCAAACTTTATTTCTCTTATCTGATGGAAGGGAACATTCTGTGAGAACACTACATCCCCTTAATTTGCCCTGACATCAACGAATGCCATAAACCTTAAGCACCCAACAGATCAATAACTATGGCCAGGCCCTTGGTTACCCATTTTCCTCCACTCTCTTTCAGCCACCTCTCTAAGTACTTTCAAAAGTGTCCATTCCCCTGTACAGCTGTCTTCTTTTACAATCTCTGCCCACTCCTCTTTTCCAGTATCCTTCTCCTCCTCAGCCCAGCACTCATCTACCACACTTGTCAGCTCCTCCTCTCCCTTTATACCTTCCTCAAGTCCTGCCAAAACAGTGCCCCCTGGTGGTCATTCCCTTCCTGGGCTTTCCACTTGCATTCTGTTCAGAAAGACACTTCCCCTTTTTTGTGTGTGTCCATCTCATCAGTTAATGGGTTCTTTTCCTCTCGTGAAGTGGATGGCACACCCTCACTCTCTCTATTGCTTTCTTACACTCTCCCACTCTTCATTCTGAGGCTGGATGCCATCACATCTAGGCCATGGCTTCTATAAGTCGGTTCACGCATTAATGTACATGGCTTTTGTGGCCCTTGAATGCTCATCAGTACTTGATGGCTTTCTGTTGATTACACCAGTGGATTCCCTTGTACTGGACTTGAGGGAATGCAATTTGAAAGGACTTTCAGTAAAATTTATTCCCATTTATTCCAACAGAATAATTTTCATTTGATGTTAACCTCAAAGAGCATGAACATGTGCACCATCTCTGTAGCTCCCCAATTTTACATGATGGAGTCTTTGGTGCTGCTTCATACACGAGGAGGTAAATACCTGTTTACCTCCCTCTGTAAAAGCAACAGAAAGCTCAATTCTTTAACCCTGTCTAACAGAGAAGCAGGGGCTTCTAACTGCTGCCCTCGATTTTCCAGACTGTAGCACGTGGCTGCCCTTATGTGACTTAAAGTCATTGACTGGGTAGAATTGACCAAGTGAGTCTCCCGAAAGGAACAACTTGATGGATGTGAGAGTTGCTTTCCTCCCACTTTTTCTGTTTTTCTTTAAAAAAAATAAATCTATGTTTGATTATTTGAACTGATCAGAAATCTCTGTCTTATTTTTAGGTCCTCATTTTCTGGAGTATTTGTACTGGGATGTTTCAGAAGAATGCGAAGTGCTACTGCTCTGTAAGGTGAACAGTCATTTCTTTTTTATATTTCAAAGAAAATGCCTCTCTTCCTGAAAGGACAGAAATGTAGGCACCCGCACAAGGCAGGAATTCAAAGCAGAGGTGTTTATAGTTCTCTAGCTTCTAAAATGTTTTGTACTTTTCAGTCTGTTTGCAGAAACAACCAAATCTCTTTCTCTCTCTCTTTATGCTGCCTGGCCAAAAAAGGCCAGTGCAGAATCTGGAGGGTCATCTATGCTCTTAGGCAAGTCTGAGTTGCCTGGCCAAAAAAGGCCAGTGCATAGGGTCATCTATGCTCTTAGGCAAGTCTGATATCTCAAGATGTTGAAATTACATCTCATGAAATGCGGTCCTCAAGGTCTCATTATCACACAATTCCCAAGATTTAGAAGCCCCAGAAGTTCACTGAAGGTCCTGACCTGGCATGTGCCTCACACCCCTTTTGGAGGTGCCACGGCACCCTCTGTGCTTTGCTTGCAATAAAGTTTCAGCAAAGAATCTGAAGCTTGACTGTTGTTGCTGTTGGGCTATCAGGACTCGGAGCACTGTTCTCGACATCTCTGCCTCCTATGGGCAGCAATTGCTCCTAGAGGCATGGTGTAGCACTTAGGCCACATGTCTAAGCCGCAAGAGGTTCCATGTCCTAACACCCACCCTGCTTTGGTTTCCTTTGGAAGGAGTTCGGTAGAGGCTGATGGGTTTTCATAATATCCGTTTATCATTCACAATGAGCAGTCCTTCTGGTCTGACTGGGTCCCTCCTGTCCAAACCCCTGAAACCTGCGGTATAGTACAACATCGTTACAATGAAAAAGCAATTTCCCAATTAATGGCTACTTTCTGGATGACAAAAAAGAGGTTCTGTGCTAAACCACTACAGGAAACCTCATTTCTCTCTAAATAATCTAGTGAATGGGATAAATAAAGTTACCTCAAGAGTGACCCAGTCCTTGAGCATGCCCAGTGAGATATCTGAGACCTTTTCTTTGATTTTAGTACATCCCTTATGCAAATTGATATGGAAAATTTCCTCCATTTCAGAAGTGATTTGTGTTCTTTTATTTGCCCCACTGTACTCATGTTTGGGGTACCCAGTGTGATGTCGGGGGCTAGGACTCAGGACGCTTGGGGTTGATTCCCTGGCTCTGCTATGGAAGCCCACAGGAAGATGGAACTGGTAAAAACCACACCTTAAATGCCTCACTTACCTTGAAAACCCTATTAAGGTTGCTGAAAGTCAGTTCTAACTTGACAGCACATATCAACAAACCTTATATTTAGAGTGTATTGCTTTTGTCTTCAGCTCTTCTAAGCGTTGTTAGCGACCGGGACCAGCAGGAGCATTATACGACCACTTTTAGTGGCAGTCTTCTGTGAGGGGAACAGAGCTGCAGCTCTGATGGACAGGCCTGCCAACTGTGTTAAAACAGTATGTCAGAAAAGTAATTATCTCAAGTTCTTTCCAAAATCTTTCTAACGTTGGTTCTTTCAAAGCAACAGTTCAAACCTGATCATCCAGCACCATTTCAGATGTCAACTGACATACAATTATATTTCAAGTGCAAAGTAATATACTGACACGTTTGGACAACTCTTGCTTCATGAGCTTAGATATGAATGAGTCTTCAATTAACTACAGTTCATGTTTCATCTAAGTGAGGAAACTGTGCTTACCAGCTTTAGAAAATGTAAGGATATTAAGGCACCTTCAAATCATAATGGAATATCTGGTTTCTTCCAAAGCTGTTATCTGTAATTTCTCGGGTTACAGTAATTCTGCAAATGTTCTGGTTTGTCTGCTGGTATGTGTAAAGTTAGTGGGTAGGAAAAAAAATTGTACTAAAGCACTTTGTGTATGTGTCTGTGTGTGTACACACAAGATTGCAGTTCACTCCTCAGCAGCATTTCCAGGTAGGGCCAGAAAAGAAGCCGTTCTGAAATCCTGGACGAGCTGCTGCCAGCCAGAATAGGGAACATCGGTATGCGATCGCATTACCAATCGCAAAATCCGCATTGCTATGCGGATTCTTCGTTAAACGGGGCACTCGTTATGCGAGGCACCACTGTATATACCTTATCAATGAATATTTTGAAATTATTTACTTGCTTTATTTCCTTTATTGCAGGCTTGTCCAACCCGCGGCCCCCGGGCCGCATGCGGCCAAGGTCCACTTGTAATGCGGCCCAGGGCAATTTTTTTTTAAGATGCTGGGAGTTGTACAGTAGTTCCCGGCAAGGGGAAGCAGCCGGCAACCATTTCCAAGCCGGGGCCTCCCTAGCAGCTCCGCTCCACCCCTCCCCGCCCCAGGGGGGCCGGAGTGCAAGGCCTGATGTAATTTCCGAGCTGTGCTGCCATAGGCCAGGCTGCTGCCAAGGCCAAGGAAACAAAATTTAGGCCAGGCTTTAAATCCCGTGCTGGCTGCACGGCCGCCGCTTTCCAGACGCCCTGCAAGGTTCCAGGTGTGTGCACTTCTTCTGCGCCCTGCCGCCCACCTGCCCACCTGCCCACGGAGCCCGTGTGCGCAGAGCACCACTAGGTAAACAGCGGAACACCTTTCCCCCCTACCTACTCTCTCTCTGTTTTGCTAGCCTGACTCACTTTCCCCTCTCTCTCTGTTCTGCGGCCCCAACTCGCTTTCCTCCCACCGCACGTGGGAATCTGCCTGACATGTGGAGCTCCCATCGGTGCCAGGCCAAGGGAGGGGGGAACTTTGGCGAGGAAGGAGGCATTGGAGAGCACCCCTCCAAAGGTTGAGGAAACCTCTCCCCCTTACCAAGATCATCATCATTGGTTTGGTTGAGTTGCTGTTGGTGTGATCCCCAAGCAGAGGCTGAGAAAGTTGACGCAGTGGGATTACAACTCCCAAGTTCCCCAGCAGCTGCTGCGGGGGTCTGTGTGTGTGTGTCCTTGTGTGTGTGTTTCTGGGCGTTGTTGTCCCTCCCCAGTTCTTTTTTCCATCCCAGAAATAAATAAGTTAGTTAGTTAGTTAGTTAGTTAGTTAGTTTGTTAGTTTGTTTATTTATTTACTGCGCTCTCAATGTGTGTTGAAGCCCTCCTACCCTGTGTGGTTTGCTATAAATACAGCACAAAGCCAAACCTGACAATATAAACACTAAACAGTAGCAAGTAAGTTTAATATGTTAACTATGTTTTCTATGGGTTTTTTTTTTTGATGATCAGGTATCGTTATTGTTATTTTATTTTATGTGCAGCCCAAACTACATTTTCATTTTCTGATGTGGCCCAGGGAAGGTAAAAGGTTGGACACCCCTGATCTAAAGTCCCTCCAAATGTAATATTGTGATGATTTCTCATAAGTGACACTCAAGGCCATGGGCAATGCAACATTTTCAAACAATGAACATGATAAAATGATAGAAGTATAGCATGGAAACTTAAAAAACAACAACCAACTAGCAACTACAATACAGTGGCCAAAAACCTACTGGTGGCGGCAGAATGTTTGTGTAACCTGCCTCAGCTAATTTTGGCCAGTTGGCAAGGTGCTGGGGTATATTTTGATCACATTCCTGGTCATGTGCCCGATCAAGCAACCAAGGTGCACCCAAGCACTTCCTCAATGAGTTAGCTACAGCAAGGTATACAAATTGTATAGGAGTACTGATGGGATTTCAGCCAATAAACACCAGAGAGAGAACAAAAAGGGGAAAAACAGCGAAAGTGGGCCTCAGATGACCTGAAATGCGTGGAGAGTTTCAAAAGTGAGGGCCCAGCACTGAGGAAGCCCTTTTCTACAGTACAACCCATTGTACCCTCAAATAATCCGGAACGGATTAACCTCGCTATACGGGGCACCACTGTATACAAATTGTATAGGAATACTGACGGGATTTCAGCCAATAAACACCAGAGAGAGAACAAAAAGGGGAAAAACAGCGAAAGTGGGCCTCAGATGACCTGAAATGCGTGGAGAGTTTCAAAAGTGAGGGCCCAGCACTGAGGAAGCCCTTTTCTACATTACAACCCATTGTACCCTCAAAGAAGAATCTGTAGGCCAAGTAATCTCCTATGGCAGCAGATAGTCTTTCAGAATATGTTGACTTCTCTTATGACCGATAAGGCATTCCAATTATCAAGAAATAGTGTGATACTTTCTGTGAAACCTGGCACCTTTTTATTGCATATATGAATGTTAAGAGAGGTGTTATTTATTCCACTAACTCTTCAAGGGGACCTGTGAAAAAATGTCATAGGCCAATTGTGACAGTATCTTTACGTTAGGAGATTAATTGGCCTGCCATACTTGTGATTGTTGCTGTCCGCTGTTGTTGCCCCCTCTCCTGTTGTTTTGTTTTATGAATTCTTTTCTGTTTTCTCACTAGAATTGTTTTAAAGCATTTCAGTGTTGTTCTGTGTGTCAAGTCACTTCCAAATGATGGGAGCCATAATAAGGTTTTCAAAAGATGCAAGATGCACAAGGAGTGGTTTATTATTGCTACTTCCCCAGTGAGTTCCCACGCTTGAGTGGGCATTTGAACCCAGGTCTCCTGTGTACTGTTACTACACAAAACCAGCTTTCACGAATGCATTTATAAATAAAAAATGTATATGTTTTTAAAAAACGCACAACCTGTCTATCAAAATATAACATTTCATTGATGCCACTGTCATGATGTTGTTCTCAGGTGGCCAACACCAAGAAGGAAACCTTCTTCAACTGGTACAAAGATGGAGCTGGCCTTGAGGTTGAAGAGGCGCCTGACTTGCAAAAAGGAGTGTGCTGCCTGACTATACCAAGGGTATGTATGGTGCAGTGACTTATGAATGGAGGACTTAATTGACCATTCCCTCCCGAACGTCCCACTGAGAAATGGAAGACCGCAGAGAGCTGCACTCGTTGCCTCCTCCACAGATGTAGAACTCCTGCTCTTATGCCTGTCGGGTACATATGTATTTCTTTAAATAATGTCCCAATTCTAAGCCTTTACTTGAATAGCTTTTTTGGGGGGGGGGAGGGGACAGACTTTAGCTTTTCACACACAGATATAGAAACTTTGTGAGTTAACATGAAGTTGTCCTCCTGCTTTGCATTGGAATTTCCTCTTCTTCTTCTTCTTCTTCTTCTTCTTCTTCTTCTTCTTCTTCTTCTTCTTCTTCTTCTTCTTCTTCTTCCTCTTCTTCTTCTTCTTCTTTCTTCTTCTTCTTTTGTTTGCTTTCTTTTACTCCATGCTGTCTATTTTGAAGCTCTCCTTACATTCTTGAGCTCAATGGGATGTGGATTCAAAGTCCACAAATGGGTGTCTGTATGCTGCTAACATAACTTGATCGTGCGGATGAGATTTTAATTGGAGATCTTAGTGGAGTTGCAGAGTTTTTGTTCGGTGCTTATAGAATGAACCTTGTGTTTGTTTCTTCGTTAAGGATGAAATGCAACGGTCTGTGTTCATTATTGGACACATGGGGAGGGCAGGCAGAGGGTTGTGCATACTCTTCGTCATGCATACCACCACCATTTCCCCCCCGGCTCCACTGAGTCCATGGACATAATGCAAGACTGGACTAATCAAGAGCCTTGATTAGTCTAGGTGGGCAGATTTCTAGTAGGAGTTGCAGGCATTTAAGCAAGGGCACAGTGTGGCCATGCCATTCAGTTCCTTTTCTTTTGTCCATGGAACAGGAGGAAACTATTCCTTCTGACCCCTTTTAACGTTTGTGTTCCCATTTGCTGTGGGGAAGATTTGGGGGGGGGGATGAGGGTGCAAGGAGAAGATACAAAGTTCCCCTAGGCAAGGAGGAACCCACTGCCACACAATTTATTTACTTATTTTATTTTATTTATTAGATTTTTACCCCGCCCCTCTAGACAATGTCTACTCGGGGTGGGTTATATAGATAAAAACACATAATATAACATGTATAAAATCATTAAAAATACAATTACAATTATAACAATTAATTACAAAATATTTATTTGGACTGGCACCCCACAGATATATCCTACTTCTCCATGAAAATGTGTATTCGTTCCGGAGGACTAACAACAAAATACAAAAAGGAAAATTGTATTAAGTATATTACAATATAAAAAGAATAGGTCAATCTTGTCAGAGTCAATAAAAGTCAACACAGCATTAAACAATCACTCACCCCCTCAAAAATCAGCCAGATAGGCAAAAGTAGCATTTGTGCCACACTGGAGCAAAACACTGTATAAACACGGGCTGCCACCACTCTGACTTTACTTAGATGAGCATGTATGAATGGTGACCTTGTCCAGCTGAAGCAAAGTTGGATTATTACAAGCAGACAGGGGTTTAAACTGACTGTTGAAATGTCATGGAAAACAGAGATGGAAGTTGGTGGAATGAAGAAGAAGGAATCCAGAGGAGGCACAAGACACATTTGGTAGAAGGAGCAGGTAGAACTGAGCCTCACAGCAGAGTGGTTAAATTGCACTACTGCAGTCAAACCTCTGCTCACAACCTAGGTTCAGTCTCAGCTAGCCAGTGGAGGTTCACTCAGCCTTCCATCCTTCCGAGGTTGGTAAACTGGGTACCCAGCTTGTGGGGGAGGGGCAATGTGTAGCCTACATAATTAAACTGTAACTCACCCAGAGAGTGCTTTAAGCGCTACTGGGTGGTGTAGAAGCAGCACACTTTAGACATAAGTGGCAACAACCGATGGTAGCCAACTTAGAATTGAGAGGCAGGCAAGTATGATGTGGGTAAGGTCTTCCATTTGGCAGATGGGAAAGCGGTTTGCTCAGCATTTACTAGCAAACTTCCTATTAGAGCCGGGGCCTCTTCATCCGGCAGACATATTGCACATGCATACAATAAGTGAGGATGAAATTTTGTTCCTCATTTTTGCACTATAAATTACTCCCTAAAGATTGTTTTAAAAAATGTCTGGAGCCTCTTCACCCGGCAGACACAACTCATATTGGAAACATGCATACTAAGTGAGAATGAAATTTTGTTCCTCGTCTTTGCACTATAAATGACTCCCTAAAGATTATTTAAAGAAATGTAAACCAGTTGTTCTGTCTCCCCCCCATTTTACCGTATCTCTTTCCTCTGAATAAAACACACCCCTTTTAAATGCATCTTCAGTCAGCACAAGTAGTCAGGCAAAAATCATTTTGAAAAACGTAAAGTCTTCACTGTGCAAACAGAAGTTGAAGTATCCATCAACTTAGAGGCTGGAGGGCATCCAGAGTTTTTCCTCATTGCCCTTGGAGCATGGGATAGGTGAATGAGGTGTGGTGTACATGAGCCCTGAAGCACTATTGTCAGTTTGACCTATGAATCACCATTAGGCTTCAGAAAACAACAACATTTCTTTGAAAAACATTGTCTCTCAATGTACTCACACCTTGCTGTTGTCTCACCTCTGAACAAACAGTTCTGTCAACATCTTGAAACAAGGAGAAACTTTGAAGACTTCTTTCACCATCAAGGCGAAAGAGTTGCCATATTGCTCTTTACGCGCTTTAGATACTACAAACTTTTTTTTTCAACCCTGTCTCTAGTCTCAGCGCCTCTGTTTTATTTTGTGGTAATCTTCAGGCAGAAAGCATAGGTCCTTTCATGTGCATTTGATGTAAAGACATTTGGAATATTTATTTCTATTTGGTTTATCACATACACACCCTTTCTGGTTTTATCCATTCTGCCAGTGGCATGAAGGGCGGTTGTTTTCATTTGACTTTTCGCTTCAGCTTTATAAAGGGTACCATGTAACAGAACACAGTTAAGATCTTTTAACAGCTCTCCAGTCAAATGCTAACCTTTCTGATTCTATTTTTGTTCAATATATGTGAATGCCTTGTGTATTGTGTGACTATTATAACCCCTTATTTCCATTTAACACTTCTATATTTTAATTACCTCACTTGAGACATTCACTCTTTTGAGTAACTGCTCTTAATTCTTTTCTTTAAATGAAGAACAGAAAACGGTGCCTCTGCTCTCCTCATAGTAAGGAGACCTTACAGATCCCAACTATAAACGGGGGCTTTGTATTTGTATATGAATATGAAGCCTGCTGGCACAAGTGGCTGGCCTGATTACCTGTCACCCCCCAGGCCCCACCGGATCACTGGCGCATGGGGCCGGCATCACCTTCTGTGCCCCAATCGTGATAGTAGCTCAGCTACCACAGCCCCACCTCCCTGCTTGCCCAGCCACTCTGTGGCTGAGCAGGGAGACCTGTCCTCCTACCCCCTTGCCAAAGTGGCTAGGTGAGCAGGGAGGTGGGGCTGCGGCACACAAAATGATGCCAGCCACACACGCCATGCGCTGTATGTTGCACACCACATGGTAAGTCGACCGGTGGGGTCTGGGGGTGGGAGATAATGAAGCCAGCCATCTGTGCCAGCAGGCTTCATATTTTATATATGAATACAAAGTCCCCATCTCTAATCTTAACCATAGCGTGATGCAACACAGTTTTGGGATGTTGTTGGATGGGTTTGGGTTTTCTTTCTTTTCTTTTCATTTTTAAAAGGTGGTTTGCAATCCTATACTCATTCAACTGTACATAGTAATATCTAATATCATTAAATTAAATATGATGTATTTCCAAGAAAACAGTATACAATTGCACTGTGTCTACGGCTGGCTCCTGAAATATGTCCCACCTGTATAGAATGGGTGTAAGCAAAAGCTGAAAGACAAGTCTGGGCTATTTTACATATACAGTGGTGCCTCGCAAGTCAAATATCTTGCAGGACAAAAAACTCACAAGACAAATGGTTTTGGCATTGGAGTTGATGACTTGCAAGACAAATGTTCCTATGGCCGTGCTTCGCAAGACGAATGTTTTCCGTTTATGTTCCTGCCTCATGTTCGCTGATTTTTAAATGTTTTTCTATGATGTTTAAAAAGTTAACGTTTTTTGAATTGAATTTTTTAAAATCATCTGCACAATATGTATGGCTTTAAAGAGCACTTAATAAACCCTTTGTAAACCAAATTTGATTTTGTTCTGACTTTTTTTGCCCATAGGAATGCATTAATTAGATTTCAATGCATTCCTATGGGAAAACACATTTTGCAAGATGAATTTTTCGCAAGACATCATTAACCGCGGAACGAATTAAATTCATCATGCGAGGCACCACTGTACTGTAAGTATTTAAAAAACAACTGTCAGCATCTCTCTGTCAAAATGAATAATTCCTCGAAGTTTATGAAAATTATCATGATTTACACTGATCAAATAGGGCGTTCTCAGAATGGGAAGTCTTAATGGACAGCTCAGTTAATTCTAAGATGGATATGGATAAGACAGTAAATGAAACAACTACTTCATGATCCATTCTTTCACCTGAGCACCCTCTCATGTTTCTGTTCAAACTAACTTTGAAATACATGTTCTTCCTGATGCAAGATACATAGCAATCAAGTAGAAAGGTACTGTATATATTTACTTCAGTTGTGCATGCAATAACTGTGCCATATTTTACTTCTAGCTGTCTAAAAAGGATCAGGGTGAATATAAGGCAACACTGTCTGATGACAGAGGTCAAGATATTTCTGCTCTTGATGTATCAGGAAAAGGTAAAGTTTTTTTTACTGGTTGTTGTGGCTTTTTTGGGCTCTTTGGCCATGTTCTGAAGGTTGTTCTTCCTAATGTTTCGCCAGTCTCTGTGGCTGGCATTTTTTTTACCTCCTTTCCCTTTTGTTGATGATCACATATGTTCAATAAGAACAGGTCTGTGGAGAAGTATTTCCTTTAGATACAGTAGATGGAGCTAGTAAATGCTGCAGGCATGGAAATTATCAGCAATTTGGGAACATTTATCATCCCATTTCAGGTATCTTTTCCCAAAAATCTGGTCCTTATAAATCTTTGTTTGTATATGAGGTTTAGAACAACTAATTCTCTTAGGTAACTTTCTCCGACTGCAAAAGACTTGCAGATATTACTTAAAGGGCATCCTTGAAATGTCATTTGCTACCTCATAAAACCATCTTGACCAGCTTAACAAAAAATGGCTAAATGAGGTGGCAGTTTGATAGTATGGCCATGTAATCTCTAGTCATTTGTTCTTCATCTCATGAGGAAGATGAGCAGAGACATGTTTGCTGGCACCACTGTCTCCATCACCTCACCAACAAATGGGCACTACAAATCTCAAGGAGATAGCGAAAACTAGTTGCTGTATTTGTATCAGATCTGTCCACATTCTAAGATCCTGATCATACAGTGTTCTCTCTCATATGGGTATCTTATATAAGGACAGTGAGTTCCCTATTGCTGTGGAGCTGAACTGTAACATGGTGAGGTTAGCTGCAGGGCCAGGCCATTAAGAGTGCGACAAGAGGGAACAGACCCAATCGATTCATTCAGGCTCTCCCCCCTCATGTGCCAAGGGAGTGAGAAAACATGAACAGAGTGGCTGGAGGTACCAGTGGTTACAGTTTTCCTAAATGTTTTTACAGCAGTTTAGAGATGTTGCAAACCATTAAAAAAATCCAATTTGTATTATGTTGTTTGAGGAATCAATAGGTTTCAGGCTAGTATTTTTTTGGGGGGGGGTTTACTTAATTTACCCCCATATAGTTCCTTTCCCCCTTACCTGCTGTTTTACTTTCAACATCGTATACTTCCACTACAAATGCTGTTTTAGCTAAATGTTTCTTTTCCCAAGCTGCAGAAGTATTTGTGTTAGTTTGCAAATGTGGCCAAATTTGTCAAAAGAAAGTCAATGCAAAAATTCATAGACATTTTCATACATTTATTTCCTGACAAATGCATTTTTACACACTTTCCTTTAATAGACACACTTTTGTGTGCATTTTTTGATTTGCAAACCAGATCACAAATGTTCTGAAAGTGCAGATTTCAATGTACACATATGTTCCTTCTTGTTTTTAATTTTAGCGGGTCCGCTTTGGCCCAAATCTATACAGAAATTCAGAACTATGTTTTCAAGTAGCCAATGCCTGCTGCATGCTGCCTTTGGTACCACTTTAAATGTACGCTATGCACATGTAAAATAACCACAATGGGGGCGGAGCAGCAATTGATGAACATTAGTCCAAACTGCCAACCTGATGTGGCTTGCAACATCCAGTGTCGGTCTCATTGGGACTTGCCAAAAGTCCACAACTGTACAAAGACCCAGACTGCTAGATGCAAGAGGACAATCGCCATGCAAGAAGCAACAGTTCCTTCAGAAATAACTATTGCAATAATATGTGCTTATTGCTTATCTACATAATACTTTTTCATATAAATACTACATAGATGCATTTCTTTTGCTGACAAAGTCTTGCTTCCCTTCTCTCCTCAGTGTATGATGATATAATCTTGGGATTGACTAGAATCAGTGGTAAGTAAACTTTATTTCTACTTCATTTTGAAAATACATTGAATCTGTTTGAAACTTGAGGGTTCCAGTTGTCAATGAGAGCAAAAATTCCTTAGCAATCAATATTCTTCTCCTAGTTTCCAGTTAACATTCTGATGAAGTATTTGACTTCCTTAATACACATGAAACAGGGAGGATACATTTTGTTTCTATCTATCTTTGTTTTGCTTCTCCCAGCTCCCGCCAACCTAGCGGCTCAAAAGCATGCAAATGCAAGTAGATAAATAGGAACCACTTCGGTGGGAAGGTAACAGCGTTCCGTGTCTAAGTCGCACTGGCCATGTGACCACGGAAGATTGTTTTCAGACAAAACGCTGGCTCTATGGCTTGGAAACGGGGATGAGCACCGCCCCCTAGAGTCGAACACGACTGGACAAAAATTGTCAAGGGGAACCTTTACCTTTACTATCTTTGTTTTATGGAAAAGTTGTTGGAAAATACCATTTGTTGGCTTGTGATGGAAACTTACTATGGTTTTGTTCTTTTAAGTACGGATCCACCCCATCATTTGGAAAGATTCTGTAGTGTATAACTGAATTCATAATTGCATGCCATCAAAGTGATTTTAACTTATGGAGATTGTAAATAGTACTTACAGGTGGGTTTTCCAGTCTCATCTTCTGGGGATGCTCTGGGACCAGGCATTTTGCCCAAGGCTACATAGGCTGCCTCTTCTCCTGGGAATCAAAATCCAGGTGGTTCAATTCAGTGAGCTGTCAAGCCACCCTTAAATTACCTTAAAATCAGTGCAGCAATTTGTACAGGAATATAGGTGCTATGGTAAACACCAGAAATACGGTGAATATTTGTTACTACCAAGAACTAAGAATTCAAGTCACCTAGCTGAAAATGCTAAAAACATTGGTAAAGATGTTTGTTTTGGACATTTACTATCATAGTGTAGCAAATCGTCGTCGTCATCATCATCATCATCATCATCTTAGAACTGCAGAGTTGGAAGGGACCCACCCTATGGATCGTCTAGACCAGCCCCTGTCAAGGAGGCACAGTGGAAATGTTCTCCATTAGTACATTTTGCAGATTAGACTATTTGGATGTTTGCTGATGGCGCTTACTCTGAGATTTATGAAAAAAGTCAGATTTTTCTCATTTGTTTAATGTGGCTTTTAAAAATCTTGTCAGCAGACAACAATCGGCAGCTTCTTGACATTCACAATGGTTTATATAAGGCTGAAATATTGTCACTTTGTTATGTAAAATATGTAACATTACATTTTCACACATGGCAATTAACAAGTCCCTGCTGAGATCCTTTGGAGGAGGTTGTGTGAGTCCGAAGTTCCCAGTAGAAACTTGTTAACTACCAGCTAGGAATAACTAAATATTACACCTTTTGTATAACAGAGCAACAAGATTTCAACAATAGAAATAATAGTGGTAGTAGTCATAGCCATCATCACCATCGCCATGGACAGAATCCTATTAGTTACACCCACTTGTGTGATGTCAGCAGTATAATTTTGTGCAGGAAATTGCCATAAGGTAAGGAGTCTGAGCAGGTATTTCCTGTTGCACATCAATCTCATGACTTGAGGTGTGGTAGAAAATGCCTACATTTCAACTTCTTAACTTATGGCAATTTGCTGCTGAAAGTTATGCTGCTGGTCTTAATGCCAATGGAAGGAAGTACATAATAGGATTCTGGTGAATAATACCCGTAAACTATCTTGTCTTTAAAGATGGGCACAAACCCATCAATAAAATGATGCTGAATAAGTGGATTTATTTGCAACATCAATGTTTGCCAGGTGTTGTTGTTGTTGTTGTTGTTGTTGTTGTTGTTGTTGTTGTTGTTATCATTATCATTATTATTATTAAAATACAAATGACTGTTTTTTTTTGGCACTTCCCAGCCCTGCCTCCCCCGACAGGCACCCCCTCAGATGCAACACCTGGAGGAGGCAGGGCAGGGCAGCAGAGGTGCTGCCTCTGAGTGGTTGCCCACAAGAGGAGGTGGGGCTGGGAAGCAGTGCACACCTGTTTGGCCAAAAGATGAACTGCACAACTGGCAGTTTGTGCCCATCTCTACTTGTCTTTTTTAAAAATAACAATAATTAAACACATGACAAACATCTGACATTGGAAATATATCCACTGATTGAACATCATTTTATTGACCTAGTGCCATGACCGTCCTTTAATAAATGTGATCTGGAGCATCTGCTCGTCTGCTGTTTGCTTATTAACTGAACAATCAGTTGTTCAGGTGAAAGAAACCGCAGACGTATATGGCTGTGACCCTATGGATGAGTGACCCCCAAAATGCCCTGCTTTCAGTGGCCCTGCTTACCTTTTAGAAACTCAAGGTGGTCTGAATAACTGTTTACCCCTGCTTACCTCTTAGAAAACTCAAGGTGGTCTGAATAACTGTTTACGCCCGCAGGTAAATCGGCTTCTGAGCTGAAGATCCACTGCACTCCAGAAGGAATTAGACTGCAGTGCTTCATGAAATACTACACAGAGGAAATGAAAGCAAGTTGGTATCACAGGTAAGTGAGAGCAGAGTCCTGAATCCTGGATAAAATTTGCTTTGCATTTAGAGACTTGCAAATTAAAAAAAAAAACTGATTCTGATATTGGAGGGAATAAAAAAGTTCAATTCCCAATGCGCCTCTCTAACTTGCTTTTAAAACTCGAATAAATTAACTTCTCAGGCGTCAAGACTTTCATAAGAAATGAGCCAATCCCTGTTTTTCATACTGTCATCAGCACAGCTGGCAGCATGGCAGGCAAATCCCCAGTCAGCCCTGAATCATCCCGGCACTTTGCATCGTAGGGAAGCATAAAACAAATCCTAAAGCCAGCCTGCAATCATCCACTCATCACACTGCAGGGAATCGAACTGAGTTTCCATCTTGAAGTCTGTTGGGTCAGGCAAGCTGAAGGCAGGACAGCCAAGAAAAGCCATCAGTGTTCCACTCTTTCCCAATTAGTCCTCTGTTATCATTAGGTTAGATTACTTCTGTTTGAATTGATTTATTTAATTATTTATTTCAAAGTTGATAAAAAGAAAAGGCAGCTTTTGTGTAATGGAGGAAATGGGGATTCTAGAATCGAACCCTGAGCTCTTCCTCATCCTTCTTCACCCTCTGTCTTTCTCATCTGCTGCTCTCGGTGGCACAGCGTGTGTGTGGAGCTATAGGAGCAGTCGCCTTGGGCACAAAATATTTAGGGGTGCACGGGCTGCTGTGCTCCTGCAGCCACTCCTTGCACTTGTCTTTCCCCTCCCGCCAGTCCAACTCTGAGCCACCAGGGGTGCTGGGCCCTCTGCCACAAGTGACTCTGCGGCCGCTTCATGACAACACCCCAGGGACTTCGCCTGCCACTGTGCCCTGCCCTGGCCACGCATTGCCCCCTCGTCCAAGGTGCTGGATGCCCACGCTACACCATTGGCTGCTGTTGAACTATTTGTGTTTGTTTTTTTAATGTCGAGCACAAAAGAACAGTTCAAATATTGCACATCTCAAATAACTTATTGAAAATGAAATGACTGAAAATGCGTTGGTGCCCGGCTTAAGAATCTTCAATAGGGAGGTAAACAATATTGGATAAATTCTTCACTCACAACCATTTAGGTTGTCTCCGCTCAATGAGGCACTTAATAATGAATGCTCAAGCCCCATGAAATCCTTGGCTTCCAGGCAAGAGAGAGAGAGAGAGAGAGAGAGAGAGAGAGAATGGTATTGTTTCTCCTTGAGGCCCTCATAATTTATGCAAACTGTGGACATAACTAGTCCTTTTCCTTTGAGACGGACATGTAAAGCAAGCACAGAACTACAGGTTGATTCTTGGAAAAGACCCAGCCCATTTAGCTCTTTGCCCTTTCCGGCATAACCATATATACGGCTGTGGTCCTCCCCGTGCTGGAAATAACTGTATCTTTAAAATTTGGCCAGTGGAAGTGGAGGAGAATTTCATTTTTAAAACAATTTACTGAAATTTGCTAAAGTTTTCATATTAGGGAGAGAAAAACTAAAAACATCTGAATGCAAGAGAAAGGCATATTGTTCAATTTCCCCATTCCTTGTAGCAAAGTCATCTGCGTCATCTTCTGTGCCTCTGCATATGCCTGAAGACATTTGAATACATGCTGCTCATTCTGCTGATAGGAACATAACAAGACCCTGCTATATCCTGGATCTTGACTGCCAGCCAACCTCGCTCAGGATTGCCAACACTGACTGGCATCTGCTTTCAGGCTGGGTCTCTCCCAGTCATACCAGACAATGTCAGGGATCAAACCCAAGCCCTTCCACATGCAAAACATGTACCCTGCTTCTAGCTGAAAGCCCTGTCCCTCTTCTACTTCTATTCCCTACCTTCTTGTAGTCACAAAACTTTGATGAATCTAATCACACAAGAATCACTTTAGCTTGCTCTCCTGTTGGTTCTCCTTTCATCTTTTCTCTTTCTCCATCCCCTTGCTGCCATTCCTCCTCATTTGTCTCTCCGCATATGTCTCTTCTTTTACCCTGAAAAATGCTATGCACATCTTGAAAGCACTATAAATGATAAATAGCAGAAGCAGTGGAACCCTCCCTGGGTGACAGATGTTCTTCCCTTAAGAAAAAACACCGCCTTTAAAGCTGCATATAGATTATTGACTTGAAAGCCGAATAGACAATAAATATAAAATAAATTCAAAGTGGGAGAAAGTTGTAGCCTTTCAAGAATGGAACAAACCAACCAACCAACCAAACACACCACATGAGAAATCAGAAGTCTTGTAGCATCTTTAAGTTTTGCTTTATGTGCTGTCAAGTTGCAACTGATTTATAGTGACCCCCAATAGGGATTTCAAGATAAGCGAAGTATTTGAGGAATGGTTTTACCACTTCCACATCCCGCAGTGAGTTTCTGTGGCCAACTGGGGATTCGAATCCAGGCCTCCTGAGTTCTAGTCCACCATTCTGTTCACTGCTACACTGTGCGTCAGCACCTTTAAGGCTAACTACCATGTTTCCCTGAAAATAAGACAGGGACTTATATTAATTTTTGCTCCACAAAACGCAGTAGGGCTTATTTTCAGGGGATGTTTTGTTTTTTTCCATGTACAACAATCTACATTTATTCAAATACAGTCATGTTATCTTCTGGTTGCTTCACAATGGTGGAGGGCAGGGTTTCACTTAACTAGGGCTTATTTTTGGGGTTGGGCTTATATTATGAGCATCCTGAAAAATCATACTAGGGCTTCTTTTCAGGTTAGGGCTTATTTTCGGGGAAATAGGGTAGTTCTTATTTTTCATAAGCCTTCATGAGTTATGAAATTATTTTAAAAATATCCTCTAGGTTCAGGCAGAGAACATGATTTTGGTCAAATACACTGATCAAGATTGAACAGAATTATTTTGCTGATGGGACCCATTCTGTCACAGTATCATAGCTGCCTAGAGTGGTCCTGAGTTGACTAGATAGGCGGGATATAAATAAAATAAATAAAAATAATAAATAGTGTGTACCTGCACTTTCAAAGTCTATCTTGGACTGGTGTAGAAGACTGAGAGGAAAGGGAAGTCTTATTGTACTAGCTAGCGGATGACCACTAGTGTCATGTTGGATGTAAGTGCTTGTTAGCTCCTGAGTGAGGAAGGAGCCCCCATCTTGGTTTTTCTGAAGCTGGAGCTGGTCATGAAATCACTAAATGAAAGAGTAGATTTATTTTCTGCTGCTGGCCTATGGCCCTGTACATTCTTGTAAGTGTGTTAAAGTCATTTGAAGCGATGGGCACTGTCCATGGATCCTACTGATTCTATTGGACAGCTGCCAAGAGAATATGCATTTGACTGACCTTTTGTTCAAATATGGTTTGCCAAATATAGGGATGGGGAAATTTGCATTCAGCTCGTATTTCAATAAAACTTAAATGTTGTACTCCCTGAATCAATGTGCAAACTGCATTGATATGTTCCTTTCAAGAATGTGCACTTCAAAGAATTTTGCATGACAATTCTGTGGATTTTAAAAAAATACAAAATATGGATTGATTATAAACACATGAAAAATAGTTACACTAAGAAAAAGTGTGCAAAAATAAGTATCCTTCAAAACATACAAAAAGCATTATATTAAAAGAAATTGCTTGCAAAATATGAATATGTTGAAAATATAATTATACTCAGTACTCAGAAGTGGTTTACTAGTCCATTCTTCTGGTGGCAGGGCAGGTAAAACCACCAATCACACATATTCTGGATGATCTTGGCTGGTTCCCCTCGTGGGAGGCACAGTGAAGATTCAAACTCCTGGCCTCTGGCTCCACAGCGAGGTGGTCGAACCCACTGAGCTATACCAGCTCCACAGTCAGCATATGTGTGTATAAAAATATGTTCTTTAGCATATGTATACATTCTTTATACATTAACATATATTTTGAGAAATAGGCATATAATAATGCATGCAGATTTGTACATGGATTTTTTTCCCCAACATTGCTGAGTGATTCAGAAAAGAATGGAATGAATGCAACATGGAAAAAATGAAGAAAATATGTCAGAAAAGTAAACAAATGTTTGCTGTTCTTTTATGATACTCCAAATCTACAGTCTGAGGATGCTGCTCTGGTGGGGGCTGGTCTTGATCCCAATCCACATGGCATTGGAATTGTTGTTTAAACAGGAGTCCAAAGATCTCCAGGATGCTTGGAAATAGTTTTAACACTGTTTGGAACCTAGACGTTATTCAGGGGATTAACAGTAATGCCTAGCAAAACTGTGCATGTATGTTTTGCAAACTGCTCTTTCTTTCTTTCTTTCTTTTTAAAGTGGATGCTTGGAAATAGTTTTAACACTGCTTGGAACCTAGACGTTATTTAGGGGATTAACAGTAATGCCTAGCAAAATGTGCATGTATGTTTTGCAAACTGCTTGTGTTCTTTCTTTCTTTCTTTTTAAAGGGAATCTAAGATTTCTTCCAGTGAGAAGATGAGGATTGGAGGCACTGATGAAATCGCCTGGATGCAGATTTGTGAGCCTACAGAGAAAGATAAAGGGCAATACACCTTTGAGTTGTTTGATGGAAAGGATGCTCATAAGCGGACCATTGATCTCTCTGGGCAAGGTAGAAATCTTTATCCATAGCCCAGCACTGATCTTTCTATAAAACTGGGCTGTTTTACTGTTCATTTGTATTTTGTTCATTAAAAGACATTTTGACAGCACCAAGAATGTTCAACATACAGTTCCAGCTTTGATCCCTGTGCTTCTACTTTCTTGGATGTTACTCTATAATGCAGAGGTGTTTTTTTTTTAAAAGATAGTATGCTGAAGAGGCAAACTTTTTAATGCATTAAAACATTTCGTTGCAGCATATGATGATGCCTATGCAGAATTCCAGCGACTCAAGTAAGCTTTATAATTTTTATTTTTTAAAGAAATAGTCGGAACCATTGCAAGTGCCTTAATATGATGGTTGGTATTATTCTAATGCAATGTCTCTCCCCTCCCCCTTTCTCCCAATTTCAGGGCAGCTGCTTTTGCAGAGAAGAGTAAGTACATTAATCTTTAAGGAGGAATGTTAAGCTGCATTATGTTAGAACAGGAGCTAGCATTCTCTTAAATGAAAAAAGAAAATTCCAGGAGGATGTTGAGCATTTTATGGTTTTCAATGAAGTTCACCAAAAAGGGAAGGAAAAGGCACACACAGATGAGGCCTTCCATCCATACTTTTGAATGTGAGCATCATCTAGAGCGTGGTTCCCATTCTTGGGTAACCCAGGTGATCTTGGACAGCAATTCCCAGAAGCCTTTGACCACCAGCTCCGCTGACTGGGGTTTCTGGGACTTGCAGTCCATGAACACTTGGACTACCCAAGGTTGGGGACTGCTGCTCTAGGGAAATGCCGAGAGCTGCGTGTATTGTCTGAAGGAAGGTCAGTGCCAGGCATAACCCACCAAGCTTGATGCAATCCACAGGAAGTGTGGAATGGTTCCAGGGTTTGGGCAATATTTTCGTTTTTCTGCCTGCCCTGTTTATGCTAACTAGAGAGAAAGGACAACAGATTAGATGCTAGTGGTGACAAGAAATATGAGCGCTGAAAAAGACTGAAGAGATAATAAATGGGATTATATGGTCTGTCATTCACAGCAGGGGTGAATAGGTCTGGTAGGTTAACTCTAAGCATTTTTATACATTGCTTCTTCATAATATGCTTAGAATTGGAGCCTAAAGCCAGAGTTTCCAGGGGGGTGTTTTATTTCATCATGTTATTCTGTTTTTCTCTACCATTATGATGACATCCTGATGAACAGAACCATTATTACAACAGAAGCTAGTAATTTTGCATTGCCTGCAACAATCATTTCCCTTGAAATGGTCAGTTAAAATATTCATCTAGTATTGTCCGCACAGGGTCTGTCAAACCCAGAGACGCAGACTTGGCAACCTCCTGGAGTGAAAAATTTCAGGAGCACTTGCCTTTGTTGCTGCAGAGATAAGTGGTGGCCTCCATTTTTAGGTTTATATACAACCCCCCCCCAAACCTCCTACTTACAGGTTTAATGGAGACTCTAATTTTAGCGTTAGAGACTGATCCTCAAAATCCAGAAATGTATTTGGTCCAGGTTAACTACATTTTATAACAATTCAAGTGATGGTTCCGTTTAATTAAATGAAAAATAGAAATAGAAACAGAGGCACTCCAATTAATTTTCAGGAAAGGGATGAAAAGAATTGGCATAACTAGGGTTCTGTCACCTGTGAATGAGCCCTCCCAATAAACAAGTGTGCTGGAATGTAGCTCTTTCCAGAAATAGAAATCATTTGGGGTTTTCAGACTACAAAGTGTAGGATCCCACAGCTGGCATGGCCATGCTAAATGTGGCATTATGGGAGTTGTTGTCCAAATCAAAAACTAACCACCCAACCTCCCCTCGCAAAGTGAGATTTCTCGCAGTTTCCTCATCTTTAGTTAATTCCCATCTTTACTTTTTCAGTCTTCCAATTTTTTTTTAAAGTTTTGTGGGCAGAAGATTTTGTCAGTAGAAAGCATGAAGCAAACCAAGTATAAAAATGTTACAGGATTGATTACACTATTGGATGTAATTGACAGGAAAGACTGCATGCAGAGATTTCATAGCTATTTTGTGTCTTACTCATTTGCTAAGATTCTGTGCCAGAGTAGGTGCTGACTCAAAAGTATTTCTAGCCTACATATAAACCAGTAGTCTTGGTGGACTACAAATCCCAAGGTCCCTGATTACTTGCTTGAATGACTGACATTTCTGGGAGTTGAAGTCCAACAACTTCTCAGACCTGAAATTTGGAAACCCTTGATATACATCAAATTTATTATAGGTGGTTAGACATTTTATGTGGATTAATCTGCTGTAGATAATCCTCTTTGTGTGGTAATGGCATTGTGTTTCTACTCATAGATCGTGGAAAAGTGATTGGTGGATTGCCCGATGTTGTGACTATAATGGAAGGCAAGGTAAGGGGGAAACACATTGCATAGCTACCGAGGCTGTTTCTGAGTATTGTCTTAAGTTACACAGACTATAACCACTTATTGCTACACAACCTCCTGGCCTGATCACATCACCGTTTTTGGCTGGCAAAGCCGTGTGTAGGGTACCAACATGTGTGGCCTTGCACTGCTTCCAGTACCAGCACAGCTACAGCTCCCCTGTATCTTGTTATTAGGGCAGAACAAAGGTGCTCCAGCTTTTCACTTATCCTCAGAATAACTGGTCAACCACGTCTCTCGCACGGGAAGAGTCTCTTGCATTTTACGACAAAGGTGCTTTGTCAGATACTGAGCTGAGATGTCAGACTGGGATAAACTTCAGAACCTTTTTTGTTTTTTGATTCCTGAAAAGTAACCCCCATTCTGTCTATTTTTCAGAAAACATTGAAAAGGCATGAAAATGTGCTTATGCTGGGTGATGTGGCATGGTGTGGCATGCTGTGTGTGTAGGAAGATCTTTCAAAACTTACATGGATCATATAACCCCACCCCCTATTACAACAGCTCCATTGGCTGCTGATCCACTTCCGTGCATACGTAATTCAAAGTGCTGGTTATAACCTATAAAGCACAGAACAGCTTGGGCCCAAGCTATTATGAGGACTACATTTCATTTTATGAGCCTGCCCTGGTGTTATGTTCACCAGGGGAGGCCTGTGTCTTGGTCTCACTACCCCCTCACAGGGAAGGAGAGGGCCTTCTCTGTGGCTGCTCTCAGACTCTGGAACTCCCTCCCACAGGAGGCCAGACTGGCCCCATCTTTGCTGTCCTTCAGCAACCAGACAGACCTTTCTCTTCAAGCAGACTTTCTCTTGGTGACTGGTTGTCTGAGAGGATTTTTTTTTTTTTAAATGGATTGTTGTGGCTTTTAAATGTCTTTTTCGTATTGATTTTTTAAAATAATGTTTAATATAGTATTTTGATAATTCTTTTAAAAATATTTGCATGCTTGCTGTTTTTAGCTTTTAAACATTATCCTTTTAATGATGTAAACCACCTTGGGTCCTTTTGAAGGAGAAAGGAGAGGTAAAAATATCTTAAGTAAACAATAATATATAACTAAAACCCAGGCTCTTAGGCATATCTGTGAAGAGTGATGAGGGTTTAAAAGGCTTTTCATGAGCATTAACACACAGCAGTAGTCTGTAAAGAAAAGGAAAAGGAAAAAAGAGAGAGACTTTTAATGTAGATTAGCCTGCACTTTGTGTACAACAATGAGGTTAGGAAGGTGGGGGGGGGATTTTAATTCCCCAGTAACTTTTAAAGGAGTTGATTTATGTCAGCACACAGGAAAGTTTTTTGTTTTGTTTTCAAAGAGGAATTCTGTAATGCAGGGTATACAGGAGAGACAACAGCTCTCACTGAGAGGGCTGAAAGAAAGAATATAGGTGATGCCCTTTAAAACGAGAAAGGCAACAGGGCAGCAGTAGAGGGTGATGAAAACGCTCAGATAAATAAAATATGGCCGGGGGGGGGGAATGAGAGGGTTTTCCCTGACTTTGGCATATCTTTTTGAAATAGGAGTTTGCAGGTTAAAAGAGAAGGGCTTCACAAAACATTGGCATAATGCAGGGCTTCCTGTCATTAACCTTGGGGGCAAAACAAAAACCGCAGATAACTCAGCAATGGCACTTACGGACTGAAATCAATTACGAATCTCCAGAGGCTTCTGGCTTTAGACCAATCAGTTCTGGAACGACAAGTGCTGTGTAGGGCGTTAGGAGTGGGGAAACAAAAAAAAATGTTTTGAAATGTCTCAACAGCATTCTGTGTTTTTTTTTGGGGGGGGGGATATCCCATTTCAGGCAAGTCTGCAGTGGCCTTCTAGATGGACCCTGGCTATTTAAACCAAGCAGGACAGGCTGCTTCCTTAGATCACGGAGCTGTCTGGGTGCACTGGAAGCCACAAAGGGCCATACCACTGCTAAACATGCCGCTGCTGTATAAAATGGCTGATGTGAAAAAGGAAAATTGCCCCCAAATCAGGCAAAACCATCTGTCAATTGGGAGTGTGTCCCTACTCTCCCAGTGGTCCCCTGTGACTCCTCCCTAATTTCTTTTTTTACGGGGCACAGGAATTAAAAACTTTCTTTTGATTCATACTTGTCTTAATTCCCTTAACCGTATTTTTCCGTATATAAGACACCCACATCTGAGCACTGCACACACACTCCACCTCCAACGAGGTGTGTTCCCATTGGTTTGTTCAGCATCAGCTGACATCAGTTACATAAGGCTTGTGACTGTAGGACGCGAAGTCTCCTGACGGGAGGCAGCTAAGCCTCGTGATTGAAGGAAGCCTGTTTGCAGAAGCAAGGTATGGGCAGTTTTGCAATCATGAGGTTCTCTCCTTGGCTTACTTCTATGTATAAGACGACCCTCAATTTTTAGTCTAAAGATTTTAGTCAAAAGTATCATCTTGTACACAGAAAAAATACGGTATCTGCTGGGTTTCATGTTGGGATCAGAAGTAATGAGTGGTGTGTTTGTGCTTCCTGACATTTTTGGCATACAGAATTATGGAGGGAATCAACGCCCAACTGTCACCTTCATTTTGCTTTCAGACCCTGAATCTGACCTGCACAGTGTTTGGTAATCCTGATCCCACAGTGGTCTGGTTCAAGAATGAGAAAGAGCTTGACCTGAATGAGCACTATGTGGTTGCACTGGATCAAGGAAAGTATGCCAGCCTAATAATCAAGGGAGTGGCCTCAGAGGATTCGGGAAAGTACAGCATCAATGTCAAGAACAAGTACGGTGGTGAGATGGTGGATGTCACAATAAGTGTGTACAAACATGGTGAAGAGCTGCCTGAAGTCAAGCCTTCGACAGGAAGTGGCAGAGTGAGGCCAATTCCGCCCGAAGAACTTTAAGAGGCTGGGAAAAGTGGCAAGAAGTAGGTTTGGTGTCTGAAAAACGAAAGGCAGGAAGAAGCTGTAGTTTCTCTGTAGCATTTCTTACATAGGTTGACTGGCAATGTTGAAGAAAGACTTGGTATTTTTGAAGTGTGTGTGGGGGGGCAAGCTGTGCTAATCTACTGCCGGGAAACCATCAGGGAGTTGTGCAGCACCCAAAAAGTTACCAGGTTTTATGTGACATAAGGTTTCGTGAGCCAAAGCTCCAACTGAAAAATGGAAGACAGCTCACCGAAGCTTATACCAAATAAAACTTGGTTGTCTTTCAGGTGCCACAAGCCCCCTGTGTTGCTTGTTTACGTGTGCATCTCAGCCTCTGTTGTCTAAACATGCCCTCCCCTTACGCAGTTACATCATTATGGAAAGGTATGTTATGTGGCTCGCCACAAAAAGGGAGTTAGGGGAGGCTGTTACAGAGGTATCTGCCCTTTGCTTATATTCTGCCCAAGCCACTGTTGTAAATGTGGGGTGCAATGTCGCCAGCTGTAACTGCGGCATGCATCAAGCACTGCGCAAATGGGCAACTGCTTACTGCAACACAATAATTCTGTCCCCCTCCCCTGCACATCTCTCTACATACTGCATAAACCGCAGGCTCTGGAGAGTACTCCCAGTGTAGGACTGTAAAGTTAAAGGTGAGGTTGCTCCTTCCATCAGCAGATCCAGCTGCTGGATCTTGACATGTAACAGTTTAGTTGCATATAAGAAGCCTTTCTTCTGAGCTAAACCTCACTGAACTCAAATTGGCCGCAGTGATGTAAATGCATGCAAGGCTGCAGCCTCAAATAAATCAGATGAGTTGAAAAATGACCTTCTAAGATATCCTTTGCAGCATTGCCATTTTGTAGAGCAAGCTGATCTTTAGTAGCATTTTACAATCACTGTGGACTCATTTAAACCTCTGGTTCTGCAGTTGTTTGTTTGTTTCCTCCTGCTTTGTGCTCATAATAAAAACGTATAAAGTCACCTTGTGTTTCTCTCTGCACCAAATTACACTTAACTAGTTCTGTTTACTCTCGTTCACTGTTTAATTATGGCTTATTGCACAATTTCACAGCTGGTAGCATGCAGACAATGGACTTACGATAAAGAAAATAAATTACAGTTAATCATAGTCACTGCATGGCACTTACTGCATTTAATTTTACACTTTATGGCATGGTCAGCAAGCAGTTAGGAACTGGTGTCAGGAGACACCTTTGCCAGTTGGTAGATGCCCCTGCAGGAGATTATGTCAAGAAAGCAAATTCTCTTTCAGTTTTTGTAGCCAAAGTGGCTAGTTCTAAGCACAATTCTGAAAAAGGTGTTAACGTTTGCATCGTTTTAGTGGGATTCATCACAATAATCTTAAAACTGCAGAGCTGGAAGGGACCTTATGGATCATCTAGTCCAGTGGTCCTTAACCTTTGTTACTCAGATGCTTTTGAACTGCAACTCCCAGAAACCCCAGTCAGGACAGCTGGTGTTCAGCTTCTGGGAGTTGCAGTCCAAAACTCCTGAGTAACCCAAGGTTAAGAACCAGTGATCTAGTCCAGCCCTTGTCAAGGAGGCCCAGTGGGGAACTGAACTCTCAACCTCTGTCTCTGCAGCCAGAGACCTAAACCACTGGGCTATCTAGCAGTTCTGCTCATGTGTTTTGTAGCAGGTAGCTAGGTATTCTTCCATGTGGACATTGTTCAGGTGGCACAACGAAGCTGCAGTACATGCACATAAGGTCAGCAGAGGATTGCCTTCTAGCTGTTTTGGTCATGTGGCACAATGAAGCTGCAGTACATGCACATAAGAGGATTGCCTTCTAGCTGTTTTGGTCATTTTCTAGAGACTCTGCTTTGTCTAGGGACTGCTGGAAGTGGGCTGGATCCAACAGATACTTGGAGTTCATCTCTGTTCTTCAGATTTGGATATTGCTGGATGGATAGTTCACTGAGTTAGGTATTTGACTGTGGAGCCAGAGTTCAATGAAGCTGCAGTACATGCACATAAGAGGATTGCCTTCTAGCTGTTTTGGTCATTTTCTAGAGACTCTGCTTTGTCTAGGGACTGCTGGAAGTGGGCTGGATCCAACAGATACTTGGAGTTCATCTCTGTTCTTCAGATTTGGATATTGCTGGATGGATAGTTCACTGAGTTAGGTATTTGACTGTGGAGCCAGAGTTCAATCCCCTGATATGCCTCCTACAAGAAAAGGCAGCCTGTGTAGCTTTGAGCAAGGTGCACAGTCCCAGAGCCTCCCCAAAAGATAAACTACTACTGAGTATGCTATACCTAGAAGATCCTGGAAAGGGTTGCCATAAGTCAGAATCATCTTGATGGCACATAGCTGAAACCAACCTTACAGACCTTTTAGTTAATATGTGACTCATTGCCCACCTGCCCCCCAATAAGATTATTGCTGACAGAGGGGGAATCCGTCTGTCACTTCTGAAGAGTGTGAAGAGTGCTGAGTAATTAGTTTGTAAATATGTCAGTAGGAAACCACTGAATAGAGAATTATACCCTAACAAAATTTATATTATATATTTTTGGGGGGAGTAGACAAACCATTCATGCCTTTAAGTTGGTGCAGTACTAGCTTAGGGAGTTGAGTATCTGGCTGTGGAGTCTGGGTTGGGAGTTTGATTCTCCACTGTGCCTCCTGCAAGTAGAGCCAGTCTGTATGGCCTTGGGCGAGCTGCACAGAGGATGCTTTCTATCTGAGAAACTCTTGCAAGGGCCACCATATGTGACAGCACATCATTTTTATTTTAGATCATAGCAGAACTGGATGACATATTTTTTATTGCTGTCTTCCCCGTTTTCTGGACAACAAATTTAGTGAAGATCAATTGTCTTCAAGATAGAAAAAAAAGCACTAGGGGTTTGCAGTATGCCGGGGGAGGAGCTGAAGAAAAGTGATTAGACTGCTTGTCATGTTTCTGATTGCATCAGTAAAAATGGAGTGTTACGTCATGTGCTGTCAAGTTTACTCTGGCTTATGGTGACCCTATGCAAGTGAGATATTTAAGGAGAAGTTTTTCTATTTTTACTCTACAATGAGTTTCCGTAGCCAAATGTGGATTCAGACATGGATTTCTTGGTTCAACACTCCATCCATTATAGCACATGAGCTCCCCATGAGGAAAATAATACAATATGGAGTGGTATTGACAAATTTAAAACTGAGTTCTCTCTTCAAAATAAAATAAAACATCCAATATATTTTTAATTTAGGGAGTAGAAAACTGGGTTTTGTTGAACCCAGACCCAGTTTGAACCAAGAGAGTTTATACGTCACTAGTTATGTTTTACTAAGTTCAGTTCACCAGCTGAATAATGCCACCTACCAAACAGCCTAAATCCAGTCTATCTCAATCCACCCACCTCGTGTTTTCTTTCATGCTAGCAGAAGCTGAGATTAGTGCTTTTTATGGCAGCTTTTCCAAAGTATCCGAAGGTTAGACTAATGAGCTGATACTTTGAGAAATTCAGTGCGAAACATGTAGGACTGCAGACGAAACTAACACCAGGTAACTAGAAGGTCCTACCAGTTTGATGGTGAATTTCCCAAAGTATCAGCTGTCAGACAGAGCATTTCACTCTGTAGTCCACTACTATTACATTGATTCTACACAGAAGTACTTGCTGAATTAGTCTTCTGTGATTGCTTCTCTGTCAAGATGAAAATTCATGCATAAAAACAAACCCAGAGTCTACAATTCTTCCGTTCACAAAGATGCACCAAGCAAGGGGAAATTCCAGAAGTTGACTCCCTTTTTCATCAACCAACCACGTCTCACCCAAACACAAAGCTATTATCAGAGCTGTTTTGGAAAAGGTGTGAATGGTAGTGAGCACAACAGAGTGTCCTGTAGCCCAGTGGTTCTTAACCTTGGTTACCCAGGTGTTTTTGGACTGCAGCTCCCAGAAGCCTTCACCACCAGTTGTGCTGGCCGGGGTTTCTGGGAGTTGCAGTTCAAAAACGCCTGAGTAACCCAAGGTTAAGAACCACTGCTGTAAACCATCTTGACTGCCATGCCTGCTCTGCCAAATGCAGACTGGAAAGCTATGTTCCAAGTTCCAATCCCTTTCCCTGAGTCAGGGAAGCTGAGGAAGAAAAGCTATACAGCATTGCACCAAAAGCTCTATGGACATGTTATGTACATGCTTTCCAAAAGATGTCCCCTTGTTTTTTGAAATTAAAAAAGGAGGTATTTGGAGTTAGCAAAGAATGTCGCTGGAATATATCTGTGAAGATTCTCAGTCATCCAGATGAGGTTATCTGGAAGTTGAGTCATGGCAACTGGACTTCTTTCTTGTTATGTTGAAATGTTTCACTACTCATCCAAGCAGCTTCTTCAGTCTGAGGAGAGGTGGTAGGAGATCCCAGATATATCCTTCACGTTGGTTTCACTTCCCCCTGGTCTGAATATACTTGTTAGATGTACAAAGGATGGGGGAGGGGGTGAGTGAAAATCCCACTTCTGCAGTCCTTCTCCACCCATTGTTATGGGTCATTAACAGTTGTTAACAGTTTATCCCTCCCCAAAAAGATCAGGATCACCACCCACCAGAAAGACCACTGTTAGCTCAGACCAGGGGGAGGTAAAACCAACATGGAGGATAGATATATCAGGGGTCCCTTACCAACACTTCTCGGACTGAAGAAGAAGCTACTTGGATGAGTAGCAAAACGTTTCAACTTAATAAGAAAGAAGTCCAGTTGCCATGACTCTACTTCCAGATAATGTCACTGGAAGGTCAAAATCATCCATATATCATGAAAAAAGACAGCAAAAAAGACAGCAAAAAAAAAAAAAAAGACATGGACAAAAATCAACGCACTGAAATTTGAAATGTGTAGGAGGAGACCGGCACAAATACAAAACCTAAGCAGAAAAGTGGATTTTCAATCAAGTCAAGCTTGAACTGTTGCTATAACAAAAATGAGTAGACTGAAGCTATCCCACCATGCACAGAGAAAGAAAATACCCTCCGATGCACAACACTAAGATAAAAGTGGACATCTTCCAGAAGTCTAAAGGCAGCATGTGCCATATCTGGATTTTGCAAGGCTGTACCCCTGCATGCTCCTGTGGCTTCCATCTTCAATTTTTCTTACAAGAACGAGATTTTACTGAACCCCCCCCCCGTGTCTTCTAGTGACAAAAGAGATCTTTGGTGGGATATAGACGGCAAAAGTGTTGGAGGACCCACAAAACATGACTACATTCCTCCCAGTGTCCCTAAAGAGGACAAAAAATGTTCTGAGGGGAAAAATTATATAAAAATAATAGTAATTTGGGGTAATTGAGCACAGGAATATCCCAGGTCCATGGAAGGAGTATCCCAGGTTCCCCTCCCCCCACTTCCCTCTCAGAAGGATAGAAAATGGCTGCCCCAAGATCATCCCATTAGTATCACGATCTTGTGGGAGCTATAATGCAGAATCTCTCAAGTCCCACTTTGACACTGTTACCGGTCTAACCGTGGGTCCATTATGCCCTGGTGGCTTTTAAATATACATGGAGGAACACAGCCAAGCTGAGGCAAGCCCAGGGGAGGAACCAAATACTGTCTGACCTCTTGCAGGTCATCTCTTTTGATGCCGTGCCCACAAAGGATGCTTTGAAGGAATCTCCTGCTGAGTGTGACCCTACGAGGCTGCAGGAAAACACCCAGCTTTATAATGGGTGTAATTTTCAGCATAGCAGCTGCCCAGAGTTTGGGAGATGTTTTGTTTTTTGTTGTTTGTTTTTTTGTTTTTACTACATGTCCCAAAGTGCTAACAAATGGTAGCAGCTGGAGGGGGTTCTGGTTGTTGCAACTTTTGAAAGCTTTGCAGTTGTACAAACAGAGCAGCTGAACAAACTAATGCTTTCATGACACATCCCCCTGCATTTCTGCTTAATTAAAGTCTGCAGAGGATGGCTGAAGGAGATATTGAAGCCGACCTTTATCAAGTGGGCCTGGTTGTGTTTGTCAATCAG